TTCTCAAAGCTAGCGTCACTCTGTAAGAGCAGAGATGTGAAACCTGTTTATCGCCCTCATCATGCAAATCCCAAGAATGAAACCCGATCATTTGAAAAGCATTTACCAAATACCAAGAAAGATTTAAAGCCCTGGGAAGCTGAAAATATCAGTAAAGACAGATTCTTCAAACGCAAATATGGCCATATGCCAGAGGAAAGGCGAAAATCTTTGCAGGAAAAAGTTGCTAGACAGAGGAGATATAGGGAGATGAAAAAGGCGCATGAGAGACTGAAATTAGAGGCAACGGACGGGTTCAAAAGATCACGTGAAGAGATTAACTACCAAGGTCAGAGTGCCAAGGAGATAATGGAAAGCGATGACGGTGGTGGTGGTTTTGGCGGGAGTGTAAGTCGAGGTGGATTTGGTACCTTCTTTGAGTTTGTTTACGGCACCCACCCAATCAAATCTGTTTTACAAGCCCGGAAAAGGCCGATTTTAGGTTTATACACATTCAATGCGGATGATGAGAATGGAGTTATCAAACAGGCTAAGAACGAATATGGCGTTAAGGTACAACATGTGAGAGATAAAAATGCTCTAAATATATTGTCAAAAAATGGGGTTCATAACGGTTTGGTTTTAAAGACTAAAGCTTTGGATGTTCCTTATATTAAGAGCTGTGGACACGTGGAAAATGGCAGTTATAAAATCACAATAGAAGATGAAGATGGGGTCGATTTGGAGAAGGAAAGATCTATCTTGAGAAGAAGTGAAGGGAGTGTTGCCGAAGAAGAAGAGCTTTTCCCATTGGCATTATTTTTAGATGAGATTACCGACCCTCAAAATATGGGCTCTATTTTGAGAACTGCGTATTTTTTTGGGGTTGACTTCATTGTAATCCCAGATCATTCAAGTGCAAAATTGGGACCTGTCGCTAATAAAGCCTCGTCTGGAGCGTTGGATTTGATGGACATCTATCAGACTGATAGAACTCTAAAGTTTATAGACTCGGTACGCGAAAAGGGCTGGAATGTGGTCAGTACAAGTGCCAAACCAGACGAATCAAATCTTGAGGACTTGAAAGAAAAGAACTACAAAATTGAAATGAATTTAAAAGACAAGTTCATCAAACTAGGTGATTTGAAGACGATTTTGAAACGAACTCCTGTCATGTTGGTTATTGGTAGCGAGGGCAAGGGGGTAAGAACTAACATGAAATTAAGAAGCGATTACCTAGTTGGAATTCCAAAGTACAGAGATAATGATGACGTAGTAGACTCGTTGAACGTTGGAGTGGCTACTGGTGTCATAGTTCAAAGCTGCTTGTAAGTTGTACAATTGTTAAAGATCTCGGTGTAAGGGTTGTATTTATTCAGAAATGAAGTAAACCTAGATAGCTTGTATATATGTGCCTTTAGCCTTACCTTACGATAGTTTGGGCAATTGTAATTTTGGGGTAGATAAAAAAATCTCAAAATAGCTATTGACCGAGGTCGATAGTTGGTGCGATTGGTATTTTTGTCTCAACTGAGTTACGAAGTCGAGGCTACCTAAAAAATCTCCGTCGAACATATAAAAAGGGGTTACTGGGTAGCATTTGGAATCTTAAAAGGCCGAGCTTCTTCTGTTTTCAGTTTACTTTATTGAGCGATTTTAAGTGACATGCACAACTTCTAAAATTCACTGCTCCACACACAAAACAAGTGTAGAACCTACGAACTCTAGGATTCGAGTGACTTAAAGTTACCAGTCGTCTGCCATGTTAGAAAGCCCACTACACACAAAGTCACTAAAGTACTGAACTGGCGTGAAGTGAGGAGGTGGCACCATACTTGGTTAAAGTCTCTGGCACATGCTTCCCAACAGCTTTATCTCGTTTTGGAAAATTACACAAAATTCAAATTAAACGTGCCTCAAAGGATTTAGGGCAACGAGTTTTATTAGATTCAGTCCTCAAAATAAAGCACCTGCCAATTTTTGCACTTGTATTAGGAACCACTACTCCTTCAAGTATACACTGATGATAATGAACAGAAACGTGCAGTTTAGCTCATCTTCATGTTTTCATTTATGGTAACTTCTTCTGGAAGCGGAGTTAATAGGATTTAAGTACTTTTTTTTTTATTTTTTTTAGACGAGTTTTACTTTTTTTATTTTCCGGTCTTTATTTTTTTGGGTAAAAACTGTTGAGATAAAACTAAGTCCGGCGTCTAATTTTAATCATCATAAGACAATGTGAAGGGCAGACACTTTAAATTCAAATGACAACCCCCTCCAACAAAAAATTTCAAACCACACACAGCATTCGATTTGAAAGTATTTATAAACGATTGTATTTTCTTTCCACTTAATACTCTAAAACCTTTACAGTCGCTCTTGCGCCATACACAAACTCGCATATGGTTGATTATCACTTAGTTATTCTAGTGCATGGGTATGTATGATTTTTCACATGCAACAACTCCTGTTTTTACAGAATGTGGTTCGTTGTCCGAGCCATTCAACAAGTATTCCAATTACTAACAACAATATAGTATTTGGGGAAACTCGTCGCACTTGGCTTATATCGAGAAACAAATTAACGAGAATGTCAAGCCCAGAGGTGACACTAGGTTACTAGTTCATAAGACAGGGTCTCATTCTGGATATCTAACACACGACGGTATCGATGTCAATGGGAAAAGAATAACGGATGAGATTGTGGAACAGACGGAACGAATTACTGAAAACGGAGACACAGTGACACGATTTTCCATAATCGGATATTCTTTAGGAGGTTTGATATCCAGATATGCCATTGGGATTTTACAAAAGCAGGGATATTTCAACAATATTGAGCCAGTCAACTTTGTCACCTTTTGCACTCCCCATGTTGGTGTGCTGAAGCCACATACCCAAAATTTGTCAGTACGATTGTACAATAATATTGCTCCCCATTTCTTGGCCATAACTGGATCTCAGTTCTTTCTAAAAGACAAGATAGGCGAATTTAATAAACCGTTATTGGTATGGATGGCAGATCCCAAGTCAGCTTTCTACTTGGCGTTGAAGCTGTTCAAATATAAAGCCTTATACGCCAATGTCGTCAATGATAAACGTTGCAGTTGGTTTACCGCATCAATATCCTTAACCGATCCTGTCAATTCACTGTACAACAAGCTACCTCAAAACATTGTTGCTGAGTATATCAAAGGTTATGAGCCAAATGTAATTGATGCTTCGAAGCCATTTTTCTACGAGAAAAAATCCAATGAACAAACGTATGACAATTCTTCTCCTCGAGGGTGGTTCTGGAAGACGTTGAACTGGTGCAAGTTGATTGGCACTATAGCGATTTATGCTCCAATAATGGGTCTTTCGTTCTTGGTGTCCTCGATTTACCAACGCTTCAGAACTTCAAACAGACTTCGTGATTTCCACAATGAAAAGTCAAATAATTTGTCTCACTTATATGAATACGATGAAACCACATCGTTGTTGACTGGTTTTACCAACAAGTTAGAAGATGAGCAAGACACTATAGTTGAAGATATGTATGGAGCCATGAGTTGGAAAGTCTCTCACTCCTCGTTGAATTTCCCACCAATCACTTTAGATGAATCGCAAAAATACATAGTTGAAAGGTTGAATGGTTTGGGATGGAAGAAGTACCCAGTAATTTTGAGACATACCCCTTCCACTCATGCCGGTGCTATTGTTAGACATGCTGACCCCAACTTTGATGAAGGTAAGGTCATTGTTCGTCATTTTATTGAGAATGTCTTTAAATTAGAGTAGATGTATGTACATCATACAAGGTTTGAGCTTTTTCGTCTTTTCGTTTATAAGGTATTGTTATTCTGGTCTCTCTGGTTGGAAACAAGCATCTAGTGGGAAGCTTATAAGGGGTAGTGTTGATCGTTTTCAAAACGAGCTATAAATGGGATATTTGGCAATTTTTCTGTACTTTTCTTTACAACCAAAACAAACTATTTCAACAAACCAACTCAAATCCATGGTGTCAACAGGTGCAACTGCGGCTGTGTTCCGCACCACGATGCGGGTCATCTTTGGGAACAGAGGGGATTCTAATGGCCCCTTAACAACAATGTCTACTTCATCTCAAACTACAACGCCAAGTGCAACTGCAAATCGCCTAATGTCAAGTTTGCAACCAACCTCTCAGCTGGGGAAAACAACAAATTTTGAAGCCAATAATACCACATCTGTTAACCAACACAATCGGTATATACATCTGAGAAACTACAGCAGTCGACTCTATACTCGAGATGGAGGAGAAGGAGAAGAAGAAGGGACTGGTACTTTGGCAAGACAAGTAACAGTCGATTTCCCAGATAGCTATACGAGAAACATAATAATCAGCCATAATTTGCTTGACATTACGGGCCCAGCAAATACAATCTCAGATGATCATGGCTCATCAACCCGGACTAACCAATGGCAATTAGTATTAAATCCGAAATGGACGGAATACGTTCTTGTCTATTGCAGATTGGAATATGGCTTATCGGTGTTAACTCAGCTTCTAGAAGAATTGAAACCCTACATTGAATACTACCAAGTCCTAAACTCGAACCAAGGCATTCTTGTGCATTTAAAAGGCAAAAACTTACAATACCGACTTTTACAACTATCTAGCCAAGTAATTGGATTCCAGTTTGTTATCTCCTCTCCCTCCTGGTTTTACACTGTTACCAACTATGACATTATAAATCTATCACGAGAATATAATCTCCAGGTGATTAAATATAAAAAGATACAGCTGACCAAGCATCAAATGCAAGTCATTCTGTTGTATGGGATCCCACTGTTTGTACCTAAAGAGCTATTAATCGATGAATTTCGCCAATTGGGTAAGTTGGTATCGTTCAAGTTCGCTCCTACTGGGCCCCTGACTAGATTCCATGTGGTTCAACTACAATATTCTAAACTGGATCACAAGACGCAAATTTCGGAGAACATCAGGAAGATTGTCGGCAGTATGAAGTGCAAAATTGTTTTCAGGCTTAAGGTGACCAAGCCCAAGCCAACCTCATGATTTAGACAGTAGCCAGGCGTGTCTATCAATTAGAATATCTTTTCCTTACTTTTATCGCTATACTATACATTTGCAAAGCTAAAATACATAGATCCCTTTATATGTTGTTCTCTTTAAATTACTCTCATCAAATTAGGTACAACTCTACTCCACATAGTTAAATGAGTTCGACATAGTTGGCGGGGAAAATTCCAGTCAATCCATTGCTTCTTCCGGTCCACCAATCATCAACCGTGTCTGTTTTCTTCAAAATATCAATGACGTCTCCCTTCTTGAATGCCAAATCGCCGCTTTGTTCACCCTTAAATGAATACAAGGCAATAGCTTGCGAGGCATTGGATTTTGGTGCACTGCCAAAATTAGGCTTAGAAAGAGTCAGTGGTCTTGAAGGAGCTCCTCCACTTGACTTATTTGGAGATAACCTCGTACTTCCCAACCGAGCATTTAGTCTATCGACATCGCTATTACCCCTCGATCTTGTTTTACCATTGTATCCCGAGTCATATATGTCATCTTCCCAACCAGATCCAGTTTTGCTGCTGGAAGGAGTTCTTCCACCTGACGATAAGCCTCCCCCTCCCCCTAAACTCGAAGCAGTATTGGCTCGGGATCTTCTTTCTCTTCTCCCACCATCGTAGTCGTCATATCTCTTATCTCCTCGACCGTGGTCATAGTGGTCATAATCGTCGTACTTCCGATCTCTTCTTCCTCCTGCTGCTCCTGCTGCTCCTCCTCCTCTTCGGCCTCCATAGTAGTCATCATCATCCTCTGAATAATAGTCATCATCTGAATAATCATCTGAATATCTTCTTCTTCTCCTTCCACCTCCTCCTCGTACTCCAGCTGCACTTCCGCGACGACGATCTGAATATTCTGATGTTGTGTCGGAAAACTCATCAGGAATATCGTCATAATAGTCGTCGTTGTAGAAGTCTTCGTCATCGTAATCAATTCTATTGTTAAACACCCTTGAATTCAAGACCCTCATAAGTGAATCACAAGCAGGTGGAGTGTCGACTTGTCCGGCTAAAATATTTCTTGCTTTACAATTACTTCCATAAAACTTCCTATTGGCTTCTCTTCTTTCCATCAATACTGAACCCTCCAATGAAATACCAGCGTATAATCCTTTGGTTTTGGAGTATGCAAAAACCGCGGAAACAGAACTCAATGATGCTGTACCTGCAGCTTCTGCACTTCTACCAAGAGGACCAGCTGCAACTGATACATTTGTACCCAATGTAACGGAACCCAATTGCGCAAATGTATCGACGGCAGCTTTTGTGTTTAAAACAAACACAAAATCTGTCAATTCAGCACCGATCATACCACCGGCACCTGCACCGGCAGTTACAATTGCTGAAGGTGGCGACCAGGATCCATCAGGTAAACGTGCTACAATGACACCCGAGCCTGCCCTTCCTGAGAAGAGGAACCCTGCTTTCAAAACTGTTATGACAGCTAGCCCCTTGGCATTCTTCAATATCCTAGGAGGTATAATTTGATCAGGGCCAGCAATTTGATTGGGTTTGATGAATGACGTCAAAGTCTTTGCTGCTTTCCTATTAAGTCGAGGTTAGTATATCAGATCAATACGGCCGGTTTTACCGCTTGTGTTGTTGCAGAAACAAAATCTGGAAAGAGAATAAAAAAGGGGACATACTTTGACTCACTCCTTAAACTCCTTGGAATTGGATTACTGATACCCATGTTTTCGCTCGCTAATCAGATAAGTACTTTTTGGTTGAGTTGAATATTAGTTTAATTGTGAACTGTGAACCATGAAATGGTAAGTAACAAGATCTGGCTCAATGCTTTTCTGATGGAATAGACGATGTATCCAATTGTTCCACTTGTGGAATTCGGTCGTTGCGGTTGCTGAATGTGGTCGGTTTTTGATTAATTTTTTTTTGTTTTTTTCTGTCTGTCGTCCTTTTCTTTCTTTTGTCTTTTGTCTTTTTCTGCTTTTTGGCCCTTTGTGCAATTTTTGTTCTGACTTTCTTGTCTGAGTAAGCAATTCTTTTGTCAAGAGAGTATAAGATAAAACAGGGCAAAGGAGGCAAAGATAGTATCATATAATGAAAAGAATTTGGATGGTGGCTAGTGAGCTACTAATAAAAACATATCGACTACGCACGTAGAACCAATTTGAGCAACATCCAAATTTTTATTCATGAAAAAGAGGTAGTCCTTCGGGTTCAAAAATACCGCAAAATACAATAACACTTTAAGACCTTGCTAAGAAAAAATAAAGTGAAGCCACATAGCCAATACAATGTAAAGAAGTTTTCTCATGACCAATTCACTGAGTGATTAAAGGGTTCTTGGTCTTTTTATGTCAATCAATTGTGCCCCCTCCCCCCTTCCCTCACCCTTTTTATGGAACAAAACATTCCGGTTTAGATTGGGTCCTTCTGTAAAACATAATCTTTACAAACACCAGTCCCAGTACTTATTTACGGGATGATGGTTAGACTAAACGCACTGCTACCAAGCATAATCAACTTTTCCATACGGACCGTTTATTGCCTGATCTTTTGTCTAGTCGGTTAACTCTATTTCGGTCTCTTTATCTTTCGTTTGTGTAACCCCTTCGGAGTTAAGATACGATAAAATTTTTGTTATCGGCGCTAAATACAAAACAACACTGACTAACTTCAGTTTAACCAACACAGTTTGCGAGCTCTCCCAACTCTTAAGTAGAAAATGCGTTGAATTGTTGCAATAGTTATTCAAAAACTGCTACTATACCCCCAACGTCCATGCAGAATTAATAGCTAAACTACTTCCTTCTACCTTGTGCTAAACACGAACAATAAAAAAATAAGAAAAGAAAATTTTGCTTGCAATCTTCGAAGACTGTAGACTGTCTGCACACAGCTAATACATCCCCCAAACGCGATGAATATATAGTCTGATCTCGATAAGCAAGAATCACCTTTATTTTGGAAATTGATTTTTAACAATGAGCGAAGCTGATACATGGTCAAGTATCTCTACGTCCTCCACAAGTTCTAGACCCAAGAGGTATCATTGTACCTATAAGAATTGCGATAAAGCATACAACAGACCATCACTACTAGACCAGCATTTACGTTCACATACAGGTGACCGACCGTTTCCTTGCTCCTACCCACAATGCAATAAGTCATTTTTAAGGAAATCACATTTAGATGCACATTTAATTTCTCATTCCAGAGATAAGCCATTTCACTGTTCAATATGCGGCAAGGGTGTCAATACAGCTCAGCATTTGAAAAGGCATGAAATCACCCATACCAAATCATTCAAATGTACTTATGAAGGTTGTAAAGAGTCGTTTCACAAACATCAATCACTACGTCATCATATACTTTCTGCCCATGAAAAGACATTAACTTGTACCATTTGCGATAAGACCTTTACTCGGCCAGCAAAACTTGCCCATCATAAGTTGAAGCACCATGGTGAATCCCCAGCGTATCAATGTGATCATCCAGGATGTTTTGTCAATTGCAAAACATGGTCAGCTTTACAATTTCACGTCAAGCAAGAACATCCAAGACTAAAGTGTTCCATTTGTGGTAAAGGTTGCGTTGGAAAACGAGGTTTAAAGTCACATATGTTGAGTCATGATGATGCAATCAAGGTTTGGCAATGCAATTATTGTGATGTTGGGAAATTTAATAAAAAGGCGGATTTACTTGAACATTACAACGAATACCATGATGGCAATGTTCCTCAAGAAATGCAAAAATCCTCAGAAAGCAATAACCATGGCAAAGAAGATTATCACGAAAAACTCCAAATATCAAGTTTGAAAAGGTTAAATACGGCAGTATCGCCTCAGGACGAAGAAGAAGTCAAGAGTTTAATCAAGACTGATATAAAATCCGCCACAGCCGAAGCACAGAAATCAACCACTTTGATATCAGCAAATGGCTCAGTGGCATCAGATGTGAAATCATCAGAGGTGATTGACCTAATACTGAAAGATTGTTCAATTAAAATAAAATGTCCTAAAACTAAATGTGATCGCGTATTTGGTAGAGAATACGATTTACAGCGACATTTGAAATGGCATGAAGAGAATTTGAAAAAAGTTGAATTGTTTCTTGATAATTTACAGCGGGGGCAAGAGATGGAACCCTTGCAAAAGAAAATCAAACTCAATGTAAAAGAGGCCGAATCTGACTGGGATGAATACAATAATGAGGATGCTGAATTTGACAGTGCTCTTGATGAAGAATTGAATTCCCCGATTACTACAGATGATACTTAATTTGACTATTTCTTATATATACATCGTATCGATTGTATCTAATACTTGTGTCTCTTTTCGTACCCTCTATTACCTTGCCCTTCTGCTCTTCTCTTGTTACTGTTTTCATATGAGGCACCACCGGGTCCGTTCCCATCATTAGAATTTCTTGGTGGCCTCAGATCATGACGGTTAGCATTAAAGTTATCAGATCCGTTACGTTGGCTATTCGATGGTCGACTATCCAACCCTCTACCGCGTCTATTGTCATAAGTTGAATATGGCCTTGTACCCGAACCACGCTGATCTCGTTCGCCAATAGATGCACGAGTAGGACCAAAGTTTGAGCGAGATTGAGCTACAGGAGGTGGTGGTGGTGGTGGAGGCGCCGAAAGATTGAAACTTTCACCAAACCTTCGAGGACCCAGACCGTATCCTCGTTCTGCTGATCCTCGTGATCCAAACCGAGGTGATCGGACATCATTAGTTAAAACTTTTTCTTGTGGTGGTAGCGGAACCCTTCTATTTATAGGGGAAACTTCAGACTCTGAACTTTTAGTAAGTTCGCTTTGTGGTGGGAGAGGCTGTCTCTTGGATACATCATTTGCCTTGGATTTTGGTTCAGGTACAACCTCCTGTGCCTGTGTTGTTGTTTGGAGGATATCCGTCTTTTCCACTTTAGGATTGGGATTCTGTGTGCTGCTGACATCATCAGGTTTATTATCTTTAGTTGCGTCGTCAGCTTTTCTATACTTTTTCGCCTCGTGGCCATCATCGTCATCTTGTTCTTTTGGGTCTTTCATGATAACATCTTCAGTTGAATTAGTTTGATCAGGTTGGTTGTCCTTTTGAGTTGGTTCTTCGTTCACTATTGATCCTGACTTCTTTTTGGGGCCTCCATTTACAACCTCTGTTTTTTCTTTTTTACCATCAATATCCATTTTGTCTTCATTGTTTCTTTGATATTCATCATATCGACCCTGGGGTTTTGATTCAACCATTCGACCAGATGCCCTACTAGCGGGCCTCAGTTGTGAGCCATAGTTGATTTTCTTGAGTTTCATCTTAAGCTCTTCTTCTTTTGCCAACTTTTCTTCATTCAATTTGGCTTCTCTCTTTTCATTCTCAATTCTCTCAACCTCCAACTTTGCTAACCTCTCAACTTCCATTTTCTCCTTCTCAAGCTGCTCCTTCTTCTCAATTAATTCTCGTTTTTCTTCTTCGCTAATAGATATAAAGTCCCATATAGGTACCCATTGCTTAGCTCGGGATTTGAGGTGATTGAGTAGTGCTCCAGAAGATAACTTGATGTCCTCCTTGTCCTCTTCAGTGTAAACCTTTTCAATCAAATACAACATTGTTTCGCAATGATCTTCAACCACGGGATACACACCAAGCAAGTTCTTCAAGAATGTGATTGTGTTATTTCGTGACATGTACTCGCTCGTCTCTAATGCAGCTTCTACCTCAGTTAAAATGATTTTATGATAATCATACACCCATTTCCGGTATTTTTCAAAATCATCCACATGCAACTCTTTGACCTTTTCTTCATCAGTGAATTCCAGCAATCGTTTCAACACATAGGCAAAGAAGAATCCTAGATTCTCGGCTTCTGATGGCGTGCAGGAGAATAAGTTCGACGATAGAGACTCAGACTTGGTCAATCCTTCCAAGACATCAAATACAGAGTAATTTTCAACTCCTAGTTCTTGCAATTTGAAAACAAATCTTGCTGAAAACACTGCATCAAATGAAGAATGGATTGCTCTTGGAATTACGCATGTTTTGATAAAGATTTCGTTTGTTGCAGGAATATCTGAGGCGAACCACTCCAGTGACGTTTCGTGAATCTTTTTGTCAGTAGCTTCATTCAAGTCCTTATGTTTCTGTTTGTCTGATGGTAGCTCTTTAATGAACACCTCGTTTGCCTCTATATCTTTCATGTAGTTCTCAATGGTGGCCCTAGGAAAGTCTTTGTCTCTTGAGTTGATATTGATTGCATCTCGTAATCCTTTGATACTAGACTCTAGCTTGCTCAATTCTTCATTATACACCAGATCGGAAAAATTAACATCTTTTAAGCTTAAACACCAGAATATAGTGTACAAGGTAGACGAAAGACCTAGTGGACACAACTCCGACCCCTGAGTTTCCAAAACATCAAACGCGTTCTTTTTTGGTCTCCATAAATCAAACCCCCACTCAATGGGTACATTGTACTTTTTATGCAACTCTGTAATGGGCATTACTTCGACATTTCCATCACCAAAGAAACAAACCAAGGTGACAAAGAGCTTAATCACCGATACTAAATCATCAACTCTATTGGCCAACACTTTTAGCTGATTTTCATCCGCATCAAAGACTAAGTCATTGTACATTGAGCAAAGTAGGATAACAAATTCATTTACTGCATCCAAGTCGAGAATACACTTCAACAAGTGTGTTCCTGAGTCAATTCTGTCGTACCTCAAGTCGTCAATAGTTCGATAAACGACTTTTTGTAAAGAGGACCCGCAGTTGATCATATCAATTTGACGAAGAGTCAAGTCTGATGTGGCTTGAATACCACCCATTGAGATAAGCATTTCTTTCAAGACTAGTAGGCCCGCTCTGTCTCCAGAGTAGAATGTTTTAAGCAAGTAAAGTAGTATCCTTTCGGTGTCGATAGCTTTTTGATATTTTTGACATATCTTACCAACAAAAGACGCGAGAGACTGGAGCCACTGTCGTTCTCCCATTCCATTATCGTGAACTGTTCTCCGATCAGAACTAAGCCTAATTAAAATAGCAATAGTCAAATTGTCCCAACCATAACTGTTAAAGTACCTAGCTGTCTCAACAACCAAACTATTCAAATTATCATAACTCTCAATTTGTTGCAAGATTGTCAATAGACAAGGAAGAGGGTTCGAGAAACTAATCTTAGCCAATCTTCTCATCATGGGACGAACATTTTCCTTTGACAATCTCTTCAAGACGTCCTTCGTTGCCTTTTCCGCAGTGCTGTACGCAATCTTGATTAATGTGTTGTTCTTTCTCAAATTGTTGTACAATTCGCCGTAAACACTGAACCGATCTTCGGCAGGATAAGCAGCCAAAATCAAATAGGCTCTATCTATTGCAATCGAATTTTCCTTTATAAGCGGCATCAGTGGGAATATATAGTTTCTGAAATAGTGAAATATGTCCTCCTTCAACCCTTCTTGCAACTGGAATGAATGAACAATGTCACACAATTTAATAAACAACTCAACATTTTGAGACAATTTAGGTCCAATAAACTTTAAAATTTCCCGAGAAACTTTGCTTAAAGAAGCAAAATCTTCAACTCTAGGCAACCCCGAAGTCCAATTTTGATAAAAGTAATGCCATCTTCTATGTGAATGAGATCTTTTTAGTGGCCTAAAACTATAAAAATCAGAAGCCTTAAAAGATTCAACAGCTACATTGTTACCGGGACGGGGGTAGTGCGTTCCTTTGGCAGCTTGCAAATGGCTAAGCTCTTCAGATCCAAGTTGAGAAACGTGCTTGTATAGTGGATCAATCATGCCCTCAAACATTCTGTTTAAGAGCTGCGGTATCTCGTCATCAATATCTGCAAAAAAAGGGTACTCGGTTAAAATGTATATCGAGGGCCAGTAAAGTCCATTGCTGAGAAAAGCCTTCAAAAATTGGTATTTGTAATTGGCTTGTAGTTGTAAATCAGTCTTATCTCCAACCGGAGTGCTTGATCGCTTGTTGCCCTTTCCATTTTCATCCTCGTCATCAGCAAGAGGGGCAGCTAGTGCTAAAGCATTGGCACCAGCTTTCAATACTTCTGCTTCTAATTTTGAATTATATTTAACTTCCAATTCCTTCATAGCTTCCTCGTCGGGCCGCATATACTTATAGACAGACCCAAAGCTTATGCATCCTTCTTTAATTAATATAGTTACTAAAATTTTGAACAGCTCGGGCAAATCTTTGCCTTTGGGATAGTTCAATATCTTCAATCCTATTATTTTCGCAGCAATTGCACTTCCACCAATGGACAATGAAGTCATTGATGAGTTGTCACTTTCATGTGCTGGCCACCATCGACTCTTTTTCAATAATTCTACAACTGGATCGATCTTCCCCACCACAACTTCGGAGAGTATTCCAAACAAAATATCCAAGCATCTGTTTGGATCAAGGCTGTAGTGACCCACCAATTTTTCGATAACTTGCAAAGCGTAATTAACTTGAAATTCGGCATCATTGCCTGCAAGTATGTCATGTATTTCCACGATGAATTTTGAATATCCTTCAATCTCTTCATGCAATAAATTGTATTTCTTCTGTGTATACAATTTGTCTCTCAACTTGGTATTTAATGACTTCGATAACATTTTACTTGGCACAATATCCGTCTCCTTGATAAAGTCTGAGCTAATATACAAAGAAATTGTGTGTGATTTTATCACATTTTCGTTCCTGCTAAGCGTTGTTAACAAGGTCCGCGTATTTTCAGTGACGGGGAATGAATTCAACACCTGACAGAACAATCTTGCCACATCATCACTCTTGATCGATTGACTTAGGAAGTCAACAATGTGTTCCATTTTCAATGTCCCTTCCTCAAATGATAGGACCATTTCAGTGAATAGAAGAACAACTTCTTCCTCGGCCTCTGGATTGGATGTTTCATACGAGTCCAAAGCCTCAAAAATTTCTATACTCCCTGTGCCAGCAAATTGTTCAATGATGTCATCTGTGAAGTACTTGAAACTCATTGGGATAGATTGTAAAAATGGCGTCACGAGGCTCCTGGTTTGGTATTTTAAATCGTTATTTACCAGCGGTTTTTTTTCCAGTTTTTTTTTTTTCGTTTCTTGTCGCTTTAGTCTAAAGATGAACACTCAGAGCTGCAAAAGCTCCAGCGTCATTGCATGTTAATATGATTGTAATGGAAAGCCTAATCTGTAGATAAGAGGTATTTGTTCAAGGCTTTTCTTATAGAAGCCGCGTTGAGAGGTTTACGTACCTGAACACTTGCAAGTTAGAATTTAACAGTGAACGACGAGTCACGTCGTTCGGTCGAGAGACACAGAGCTAACAGCGAGAAAATTTCTTCAAAAAGATCTGGTCAGTGATAGTTCAATTGTTTGACCTAATATCAACTTTAAAACTGTGAAAACCTAATTGAAAAGTTCGTAGAGCTTTGTCAAACGTGATCCTTGCTTTATGCTTTTAAAAATAAAAACAAGAAACTTTTTAAAAAAAGTCCCAGATAGTTTAGTGGCTAGAATTACCGTTTGTCGCATGGTAGACCAGGGTTCAATTCCCTGNTCTTTTTTGCCTTGAAAAGGCTTATTTTTTTAAGCATTACGCCAAAACACGCACCCCGACCTCTGTGTTATAGGTATCTGTCCCAGAAGTCCTTGTATTTTTGTTGACGGAACATTTGTCTTGATGCAGCGTTACATTTTAAGTGGTGTATTTATTGCAAGCAAAATTTTTTTATTATCTAGCGAGAGAGTATGAGAAGGAGGACAGAATGCCTTAATAGTCCTTTTCGAGTAACTTCTACAGAGGAAAGAGCCAACGTTAGCTTCTAATGTTTTCTAAAGTGTGTGAACATTAAAGAGAAGCAGTAGCTGGAATGTTACGTGTAGAAAATGTCTTTTTTTGAGCGAACCAAAATTTCGATATATTTTGGTTTAATTTTGAAGTAAATATGTTTGTATAGGAAAGGTCTCGATGCAGATTCGTTAAATAAAACCTACCTCAAAAAATTCTTCTACTGATTAACCTAGTTCTAGTCAATATATATGTACATACGAAAGGCTTGATACTGGAAAAATGTGACCTGCAATTACTAGGTTCAAAGCATATCGTATTCTAACAAATAACCAGACACATATTACATATCACAAGTTGTGAAAAAAACAAAAAGCAAATAAGCTTTACAAAGGCAGATGTCATTTAAAACAAGAAGTATGGCTTTGAAAAGGTCATGGACAATGCCCCTCATTTCTTGTAAAGGAATTGCCTTGCTCCACACCAGGTTCCATGTCATAAGTAGTCTTTGTATAACAAATTTCGCGAAGCATATTGGTGCTTAGTCAAATTTGCAGCCACTGTTTCAAGTATACTTGCACGAAAAAATGACATTAGAATCAACAAGGTCATGAGATATATTGTATTCCAGACTCTAACTATCCATAAAAGAGTTCAATGAAGTCTATAAAATTTTAAAAATCAATCAACCATAAAGGACAATAAAGCAATGCCAATTGAAACAAACTTTTTTTTTATGCTCGCAAAATCAAATTTAACTAGTTAGAGGATAGGATATCATGAGGGTACCTTCCCACATTCAGCTCTTGTCGAGAATGTCCACGGGATGGGGGATGTGCCAGTTCGTCTTTCTTTGTCATTACTTCTACCATACTTGTATCAACAGACAGGTCCGCTTCGTCTGCATCATCATCATCAGCAGTCCTTTTGTCCTTTTCGTGTGGCTTGGATGTGCCAACCTCTTGAGCTGGTGTGGCATCACTTGCAAGATTTGCTTCAGTAGATCTAAGTGCTGGGTAAGCAGGGGGCATGTCTTCCCTCGTCATAGATTTATGGCGTTTGTGACTTGGTGATCTATTCGTAGGATCAGCACTGGAACCAGATTCAGGCTGCCAATGGTGAAATTGGATAACGTGTTGAAATGACTGCATCGATTCCTGCAGCGGCTGAACCAGTTGTTTCTTTTGTTCGTTCAAAGGCTGCGCTGGTATCGGGTTAACTTGAAGAGTCGATGTAGCCCCGGAAGGAGATTGTAAGAATGGGGACTGTTTTTCAGAAACTTGAGGGTCACGTCGTAGGCTTTTTGTCCTTGTACTTGGTGTACCTCCACTTATACTTGCCAGCACGGGCATTGAATAATGCCGCTGGTGACCTTTTGTTCTTTTCCCAGTAGACGAAGAAGTTGTTCTAGGAACACGAAATGGAGTCGTTGGAGTGTTCAAGTTGGCAACTGCTGTAGCTCCAATTTTGGCGGGTGATAGAGGTCGATCTTGGGATGTTCCTGAAACTATGCCTCCTCCAAATCGGAAACCCTTTGGCTGCATAGGGCTTGTACTGAACTCTTGTTGAAGATCAGCTCCCGAAGCACGTTTTAACGGAAGTTGAAGATTAGCATTTTGAGCTGCCTGCAAAGCTTGTAGTTGTTGTTGTTGTTGTTGCTGCTGCTGCTGCTGTTGAAGATTGTGTTGTATCTGCCTCTGCTGGGCCTGAATCATCTGAACCTGTTGCTCCAGCAGAAGCCTTGGTTGTGTTAATTGGGGATTTGCCCAACGAGAAGTCAGGGGATATGGTGGGTTTTGCTGAGGTGACGGTTGATACGGCAGACGTACATTTAATTCTCTTGCTTTAGCTTCATCGGTACTTCCGGGATTTACACCAGCGAGCAATTGGGGGATTTGGCTTGCCGGTATTTGTGCCTGCAAAGCCAACTGGATGATATTTAAGCTCTTGTTTGCACTCTCGGCCCGATAAAACTCTTGTTTAGTACGTTCTTGCTCTCCTCTCAACTTCATTGCTTCAATGAAAGCAACTTCACTAAAAGGGAAAGAAGTGACATTGGAACCCAAGAGCATTAACAACCCAGGGTCGCTTATTGTTTTTTGTGGAGATGATGGTGCGGTAGAGGCAGAGTGGGGTTTCTGAATAGATTCATTCAATGCTGACAATGATGGGATAGAAGTCGTGTGTTGTTGTTGAACTTGAATTGGCTGTGCCTGAGGTGGTTGTGATGCTATCAGTAACCCTATATATGGTGACTGAAGTATGCTTGGTGTTTGTGGTTGTGGCTGTTTTGAATGTGAATTCCCCACCGGCCGAGGTGATGGCACCCCTTTCGGTGTCTTTTGTTCCTTTTTTGTTGTTTCCGAATTACTTCTCGCATGGTTGTCATCTTTATCCTTGTTCGTATTAACACTCATGAACGATCGAAGTGATGATAAACTCAGTTACTTATGAGGGGTGGTCATTAGCTTTTTGTGATTAGTGTCGCTGCTGCTATTAATTGACTCAGATGATGAAAAGTAAATTCGTCATATGTGGTTTTAAGAAATATTTAGTTTCCAAATGCAAGTAATTAAACCTTTATGTAATGTACACTTTATTAAAAAACACATAAGTCGCTTTTTTTTTAAAAAAATTGTGATTAAAAGAGAACAAACAAAAAATGTGAACGCCACAAAAACGAAAGAAACAACAAAAAAAAAGAAGGACAGAATTTCAAGTTCTAGCCATAAGAGCTCAAAGGGGACAACAGTTTAGATATTGACAGGGACTGAATATATACACTGCAGATAACAAGTTGGAGTGTTTCTAATTGCTTTTGTCAAATGTGGCTTTATACGCCAGTTGAGGGTTTGATTTTTGGCTTCTGTGTTGTGATATTATTTAATTGCTATCACTATCATATCTCGTTCGATAGGAAGATTGAAGAAGAAGAACAATTGAGAGACATACATAAACACAGAGCTTTTACTGTAACAATAAATGTTGGGTGTAGCAGCAAACACACACACATAAATCTAGATCTCTTTTTCCTTTATTGAATGTTTTATTTTTTTTTCACCCTTGACTTTTGCTTTTCTTTTTAATCATTTATACTTTGTGTGGAAAAAAGAGCAAAAATATTCATTGTTTAGATACATATATATATATTTATTTTTAGTTTCATTCTTTTAATTCTTTCTTCCTTGGTTTTAACTCTTTGTTCTTTTTTTGGGTGTTGTACATCGCGCAGATCGTATTACTTTATTGCTAACTGGTTGCTGATCATTTGTCGAGGAAGCGAACTCCAGAGCAAAATAGGTACTGCAATATAGAAAGTATGTCTATGCTTTTTGCTGCTTAAAGCAATTGCTACACAAGCTGTTTAGAGACTACTAAAACCCCTCTTTTCACCCTTCCACGCCCACTATCATCACTAAGTAAACTAACTTCATTGAAAAGACGCGTGGAACCACTGTGTATTTTACAGATCAGCTCGAAAGCCTCACTAATGGGGAAGTAATATAATTCTTCACTTTTTTTTTATTTTTTATTACGCACGCTGTGCTATTTATACGTGATTGAAATTCAATCTCCTCCTACAGCCTGCATAAACAGATTGGAATAACCTCTTTTGCACTTTCCAATATGAATGCTTGCATGGTGCTGGAAATCTTGGGTGCCTGGTGTTGCAAAAACGGCCTTTTGAAATCGTAATGTCGTCGTTGGTTAAACGCGACACGACATAATATACTTGAATCCATATTGATGCCAACATGTATATCTATTTACACATGGATGCACAGTAGGTGTAGGTGTACGTTCTCTTTACCTCAATAACAACATCTGCAACCTTTACAATCACTGAATTGTAAGTGTGTCCTGGTCCAGTTTTCGCTGTTCTATGAAAATAGAACAACACATTGGTGAAAAAAAAAAACAAAAAACTGAAATATTGAAGAGCTTTTGCTGGAGTATGAGAAAGTAGTCCAACGTCAATTACAACTTCCACAACTGCCCATCAGAAACACTTTGACTCCATTCAACAATACTTGATGCATATAGTATGGGTAAAAATAAAAAGAAAAGCAAGAAGCAGGGCGATTCAGAGGACAATACCAAACAGCCTCAAAATGAGATCCTAGAATCCGACAAAGAGGTAGACAAGATCGAAGAGGATCCAGCAGAAAATACACCAGCCATGTCAAGCTCAAATGGGATATCAGAAGAAGAGCCTCAAGTAGATTCAGTTGACGACAAGTCTCTTTTAGAAAAGTTGCAACAAGCGGAGAGGGAAAGGGACGAAATAAAACATTCCTATGAGAATTTGGTCAGTAGGTTGTCATCATTCAAAACTGTTTTTGCTAATATGAAAAAGGCAGAAGTAGAACTAGAAGAAAAATCGGACCTATTGGAGAAGTTGAATGAAGAGAATGACAAGTTGAAGGAAGAAAATAAAAGTTTAAAGAGTTCTCTCAAAGATGAAACATCCAATAAGATAGATCCCAGCCTGTATATGGAACTACAAGAACAAAACACCAATCTCAATAACGAATGTGAAAAATTGAGTGATACATTGACCAGAACTAGGCGCGAGTACACCTCAACAATTGAGGAATTGCAAGATGAGAAATACAACTTAGAAAACGAAAACTCAAAGTTGTCAAAGCTAGTGCACGAGTTGAAGCAAGAGCTCAACGATCTCACAATAGCACAAAGTGAGTTTGACCAAGAAAAGAAGGATTTGGCTGATTCTCTCAATGTTTTCAGAGAACGACTCGAGACAAAACATGTGGAGGTCAATACCGCCAATACAAAGATAGAAGAACTAACCGCTCACTTGTCCATAAATAGCGCTTCATATGAGAAGGAAAAGATGTCCTTATTGGAAAAAATTAAAGCATTGAATGAGAAAGCAGAAGAGAAAGACAACACGATTGAAACACTACGGGCAGAAGTGGAAGGCTTGAAACAGAAATTCATAGAGTCTGAGCTAAAAGCTACAGAAGTTTCCGATTTGAAAAAAGAAATAAACAACAAGCAACTCCTTATAGGAAAGCTACGCCACGAAGCCGTGATATTGAACGAGCACTTGACCAAGGCATTGACCATGATGCAACAAAGAGGAGAAGGTTCGAATAAAATGGTGGATGCGGAGTTGCTATCTAATGTTATAATAAGCTTTTTGCAATTTCCTCGAGGGGATTCCAAGAAGTTTGAGGCATTGCAATTAATCAGTGCATTGTTGGAATGGGATCAACTGCAAAAGATTGCCGCCGGTTTACAACATGTATCAAACCCTAAAGGAGGTAAAGCTAAAGTAGATGCTAACGGAAACGAGGTCCCCACAAGACAAAGTTTCGTGTCATTATGGACTGAATTTCTTGAGAAAGAGTCCAACGGGAAGTAAAGTTAAATATATCTTGCATTTAATGAAAATATATGTAACCTGCGTAACACGCGTAGAAAGAGTTCTACAGTGAAAAAAAAAAAATATAAAAAATTAATTCTTCTGGCCCCTACACCTTCAACGCGTTATTCTGGAATTCAAAAAGCAGGGGGGGGTGTTTTCATAATGGTTAATATTCAAGACTTTTTCAAGAACAAACAGGGGAACCCCAGTACAGTATGTCAATACTCAATGGATCGAACTCAATTGATTACTAACCAAAACTATTTAGAAACGTAAAGCAGAGGAGATGGAATCAACAAGCGCGAAAAGGACCAAACCAACAGCAAAGCCTAAACAGGAAGTTATAGATTTAGACGATGACTTTGAGTTTGACGATGATGATGATGATGATGTGATAGATATAGAGCCACCGAAGAAGCCGTCTCCCAAGAAGAAGCAGTCTCAGTCTTCTTCACCCCGGAAACCGCAAGCCAAGCAATCAACGACGACGACAAGAGAGACAAAACCAAAAGCTTCTAATCCCAGTGGAGATGGGGAATCTATCGATCAAGTACTTGCTAAAATTCCCGAGGCAGAGTTGCCCGAAGTAAATGAGGGCGAAAAGCCAAATTTCTTTGCTCTTAAGGCTCAACAAAACGTGACGGCTTCCACGCTGATTGAATTGCCTGCGGCCCAGCCTAATTGCCTAACTGGGTTGACAATAGTATTTACTGGTCAAATGCCTTCGTTGGACCGAAATACTGCTGAGCAGACTGCTCAACAATATGGTGCAAAAGTCACCAAATCAATCTCGAAAAAGACAAGTTTGGTTGTGATTGGATCAGATGCTGGCCCGTCGAAAGTTAAAAAGATTAAAGATTTCAAAATTAAAGCAATAGATGAAGCAGGTTTTATACAATTATTGTCGAGTATGCCGGCCGATGGTGGTTGTGGCGAGGCTGCCATAAAGGCTAAGGAAAAGCGTGAGCAAGAAGAGAGGAAAATTATTGAGGATGCAGAAAAGGCAGAAAGAGAAGAGAAGGAGCAGGAGGAAAAGAGGAGAAAGAAGATGATCCAAGAAAATGCAAGCCAGAATGCCTCGAGTGGAGCTTCGCAACTGGCTCCTGTATCGCAAGAGGTTCCAGCAAAGGATAGATTGTGGACTGACAAGCATGCGCCAAAGGATTTCAATCAGTTGTGTGGAAATAAAGGCCAGGTTCAAAAATTGCGCAATTGGCTTGAACATTGGTTTGAGAATAAAGCCAAAAATTTTCCCGGTGGACTCGAAAACCCCAACTCATACAGAGCTGCTTTAATTAGTGGACCTCCGGGGATTGGTAAAACCACTGCGGCCCATATGGTTGCCAAGTCACTAGGCTTTGACGTTTTGGAAAAAAATGCATCCGATGTTCGTTCTAAATCGTTGTTGAATGCAAATATCAAGTCGGTGTTGAACAATACTTCCGTCATTGGCTTTTTCAAGCATCGCGGCGACGAGGAGCAAAGCAACAACAGTAGAAAGCTTTGCTTGATTATGGATGAAGTCGATGGTATGTCAAGTGGAGACCACGGTGGTGCTGGGGCCTTGTCTCAATTTTGCAGAATTACAAATATGCCTATGATTTTGATCTGTAATGACAAGTCACTACCAAAGATGAGAACATTCGACAGGGTGACATTAGACTTGCCATTTCGAAGACCAACTGAGAATGAAGTAAAGAGCAGGTTAATGACAATTGCATTACGCGAAGGTATCAAATTAGATCCAAGTATCATTGGACAGTTGGTCCAGGCTACATCTAACGATATCAGACAAATGATAAACTTGCTTTCTACTGTTTCCAAAACACAAAAGCTCATTGGCGCAAACAATGTCAAAGAGATACAGGCCAGCTGGAAAAAACAAATCATTTTAAAGCCATTTGACATTGCTGGTAGGCTATTATCGTCTGGGCTTTGGACAAGCCCTAAGCAAAATTTAAATGAAAAGCTCGATTTGTACTTTAATGACATTGATTTTGCTCCTTTGATGATCCAGGAAAACTATTTAAACACGAGACCAAGGCTTGCAGGACCTCATATTAAGCATGTTGCCCAGGCTGCTGATGACATCAGTTTATCGGACTCCATAAACTCTTTGATTAGGTCTAGTGAGCAACAGTGGAGTTTGTTACCTTTCCATGGTTTAATGTCAACAGTAAAGCCTTCGTACGAAGTAGCTGGCCAAGTGACTGGTAGATTGAATTTCAGTGCTTGGTTGGGACAAAACTCGAAACAAATGAAGTATCAAAGAATGCTACAAGAATTGCAATATCACACCAGAGTCAAGACGTCGACTACAAAGCAGGAATTACGCTTGGATTACTTAAATCCTTTGTGGGTTAAATTAAACACCCCAATAAAACAGCTAGGGGAGGCTGGAATTGATCAAACCATTGATACAATGGATGAGTATTACTTGACAAAAGAAGACTATGATAATATAAGTGACATGTTAAACAAACCTATTGATTTGGATAAGAAAGACAAGGCAGCATTTACTCGTAAGTACAACAATGCTATTCATCCTACGGTGATTTACAAGACTGGAAATTCATTTGGCGGTAAAAAAGCAGCACCTGCCAAGGTCGATTATGAAGATGTTGTAGATGATGATATGGAAGATGTTGACGATGACAACGATGGCGAAGATAGCGATAAAATTGACACAAAGAAAGACAAGTTGATCAAACAGGTACCAGCGGGAAAAGCAGGGTCTGGTGCCAAGAGATCGACCAAAGGACAAGCCAGAAAGAAGCAAAAGAAGTAAACTACTAGTCATTGCATTGTAGCTAGATAAAGTTTTAAAACATTCTAATTTATGCATATGTAGATCCCCTTTCTGATGGTGTGGTTTAATTGCAGTGCGAAGCCACGTACACGTCTCGTCGCACTATTTAAATTGCGCGTTTCATTTTCTTTTTTTTTTTTTTCTTCCCTGTGAGAAAAACGACGAAATGAACACAAAGTGTGGTAGTCTTTTTAATTTTTTTTCCATCGTTTCAAGAAAAGACGAAAAACTCTCAAGAAACACACACAGTTATTGTGATCATTTCAACCAATCCTCTTGTTTCAGGGTCCATTTAATCTGAGCACACACACCCTTCAACAAGTAAACAGAGTTGACTTCAATTTGGTAAATTAGTTGAAAGCTACCCCCTTTAAACTTCACGACCACAACCACCGCCAGTACCACCACCACCATCACCACACTCCTTTCCAATTGTTAGCCACAGGTGATAGATACCCACCCATTATCATGACAGACCCTCCTTTGTTTAATGTACCAAATACGCGAAGACAGCATAACCGACAGCTACCTTCATTGGCAATTCCACCAACCCACAATAATACTAAACCAAACTTACAATTAAATGCCGAGAAATCGCAAGATGTAGGGGAGGTGCGATTCAGCCAGTTGAATATAGGCGATTCGCAGCAAGACCCGCGAGTGCAATCACATTCACATTCACAATCACAATCACAACCACAATTGCCCTCTCAGTTTGCCAAACCACCCCCGGTAATAATGAACCCAAACTCCACATCGTCGTCATCTATATCATCGTCCAGCCCAAACACCGCACATTCTTCAACATCCTCGAACTCTCCAAGATTGAAAAGGAAACCACCACCAATTTCGACAAATACGTCTAAAGTTGAAGAAAACGAGAAGATACGACTTTGGGAAACCCAGAATGAAGACAGGGAACTACATCGATGTGAAGACTCAAAGCCAAAACCTGGCCCACTTTTGGAGAACAAACAGTATCTCGAACAGCTAACTTCCCACGACTGGCATATTTGTGCAAATAATAATCTTATTGAAGAAGTGGGAAAATTAGGCGAGGGAAATGGAGGATCAGTTACAAAATGTCGAGTCCTGAGATTGCAAAAGACACAAGTTTTTGCTTTAAAAATGATTATTGCTGATTCCAATCCGGATGTCCAGAAGCAGATATTTCGGGAATTGGATGTAGCCAAGAAGTGTCAACACCCAAACATTGTTAAATACTACGGCACGTTTCTTTTGGAGAGGCAGTCAATGATTGGAATAGCGATGGAGTACATGGATGGCCATTCATTGGATGCGATATACAAAGAGGTTGCAAAACGAGACCAGACTAATCGAATTAGTGAAAAAGTTTTGGGTAAAGTCGCAATCTCAATCTTATCGGGACTAGATTACTTACATCTGAAGAATATTATACACAGAGATATCAAACCGTCAAATGTTTTACTAGATTCCAAGGGAAACGTCAAGCTATGTGATTTTGGTGTGAGTGGCGAGGCAGTTAATTCCTTCGCATCTACATTTGTCGGTACACAATACTATATGGCTCCAGAACGTATCATGGGTAAAAATTATTCAATTTCCAGTGACATTTGGTCGTTAGGAATGTCTATGTTGGAAGTTGCCAACGGAAAATTCCCGATTGACGTCTCACTAGGACCAATTGAGGTGGTTGAGATGGTGCTGAGAAGTGAATTAACTTTGAAAGATAGCGTAGCTGACAGTATTTTTTGGTCTCCCGAGTTTAAGCGATTCATAGCTAGATGTTTGATTAAGGAGCCGCTGAAACGACCTATACCGAGACTGCTTTTGGCCCATGATGAGTGGTGTTTGGCACAACTGAGAGAAAAGGTGAAGATGGATAAATTTGTCACAGTTGTTTGGAAGTTGAATGGGTAAATAGATTCTTAATTTAGAGACAGCACAATAATTTTTAATAAATCTTAGATAGATATGATAAAGTTGACTTACAGCATCAGCAAAAGGATTCACGCTTTGCACCCATTAAAGAGGGTCGTGTACTCAACACAGATTTTTCCCTTTTCTTCAAACCAATCAAAACCTCACTGAACATAATTTTTTTTTTTTCTCTCAGGCTTGAGAGGTTAGCTGGGTCTGCAGAATATTAACAATATCATCATCCCTGCAGTGATCTGTACCGTGGCTGTTCCTTTTCATACATTTTTATAACACACTGGCAACCATTATACTACACCAGACATAATGCCTGTACCATTCGAAGGGTTTATCCCATATGCCATCATGACAGCCTTCTTTGGCTTGGCTGGTCACGGTGTTCAATTTATCAGATACTGGGACAACGGTTGGAAGAATGATCGTTACTTCTTAGACCAATGGGACCACAAAATGATGCAAAGAGATTTCTATCTAACAGGGACCCATCGAGGTCAAACGAGTGAGCCAATAGCTCCAGAGAGCTTCAAGACGATTGAGCAAATCGAACAAAGATACTACACACCATACAGGAACCAATTCTTTAGTTTGAGAGACAGGTTGTTTAGAGGATATGTGTTTGGTGATTGGAACTTTTCATAGAGTTGGTGTGACTTGTATAGTAATCAGATGTATAATTTATTCAAATCAGCAAGAAAAAAGAAGTGTTGTTTTTTAAATGAGATGTACCTATTTAAAATCCTTATAAGTCCACTTTTCTGTGACTTTTTTGGCGTATTTTCTCTTTTTATGAACAGGCACTCTACTTTCAATCTTTCCGGTAGATTGTAGGTTTGCCATTTGATCATAAAATAGATTTCCTTCTGGTTTCAAGTTTTTCAAGTTACTAGTTAATTCATCCGACAATTTCAACTCTAATGGAGTTTCAGTAGGGGTGTATTTATGCAATTTGTTCCTCTTTGCACTTCTTGGTTTTTCAGAAGGCTTTGTCCTTGATTTAGCTGCAGCCTCTTCCTCTAGTTGTCTTTGTAGAATTTCATCCAAATTAGAAAGATCCTTCAACCGTTTCTTCAAGTCTTTAATTTCCTGTTCCAATGTGACTCTCTGCTTGTGTTTGGCTTCTCTGTTCCTCTTTGTTTTTGTCTTAATCTTTATTTTTGTAGGCTCATTTATCGACAAGGAATAATCCTTTTCAGTTACATCATTTGTTTCAGCCTCTTGTTCTTCTTCCCCATCACTATCATCTGACAACATGTTATCATTCAAAGTAACAACAAGCTCTTGTATCTTTAATCTGTGGTCCTCCATCGACTGCCTAGTCAACTCTCTCTTATACTCCACACCATATTCCTGATTTATCAACTCTTTCCACGACTCCAAGGATGGGTTATATGATTTTCCTGCGTGTATAATTTTCTCCGTTAAGTCATTCTTGGCAATTTGTATAGGATTGACACGCAATGTGGATGGTACTACAGTTGCCTTGGTGACTTCTGCAGTTGAAGTACCATAATCGGGGATTTTTGATTTCTGCTTAGCAGAGCTATCATCATCCCAGAGATCTTCGCTGTCATCATTCACCAAGCCATCTTTCTCAATCCTTGCCATAGTAATACTTCCCTCCTTGTATTTACCACCACGCAACTTCAACAACCTCAACATATCTGTTTTCTTGACTCCCTGTACTGTGTCATTCTTCTTAGCACGGTTATTAACCAAGGCTGGAACTTTAGACTTGTTGGCCAAAATCTCCTTTGTCTTGAGTTTCTTTGGTGCCTTGTCCTCCTTCAAAGTATGGTTGGGTGTTTCATCAATGACAAAATCATCTTGTGGTAAAGGGCCCTTGATTATTTCCTCATCTCTTACTTCCTGAAGCTTTGATTCTAAATCACCTATGTCCACATTCTTTCTCCATGCTTTCTTGCCCTTCCTTGAAGGTTGCTTTCTCGTTTTAGCTACCTCACTCATGATAATCGTATGTGTATGTGACTTGACAAATAGTCTGATTCAATTTATTTTGTGCAAAAAAAGCAAGAGATGAGGTTTATTTTTTTTAAAAAATTTGGCATTCCACAGTTACACAAAAATAAAAATTAATATGCAATTAAATATAAGAGGAACTTCTCCACCTATCTTATTTCCTCTGTGAAAGAAAGGCCTTCCTAGAGCTAACTATGTAGATGAGGCCAACTTTAGTAAATTATGTTCGCTCAATTTCGAGGGGATTGACTGTGGTGGACTTGAGGACGTCCTCTTGCGCCTTTTCAACTGCTGCTTTTTTTCCAACTTGGCACCATTTACAAAAGACAACAAACTGTTTCTCCTCCTCACACCTTCGTTGATCCAGAACTCACTTCGATAGATCTCCCAGCCTTCTCTAATGTCAACATTAAATACTCTGGCATTCAATAGCAACTTTACGTCTGTAACCCCTATACGAGGTTGACATTGCGATTGACAGGTGACTAGAAATACTTCCACTCTTGAATCTTTATTCTGAATGGAGTTGGGAGAAATGCTGTGAGAAATACTCAAAGCAAAGTTGACCACAAGAAGTGAAAGTTCTCGTATCAAGTCTGTTATTTTATCTGCAAGTGGTGTCTTTATCTTCACCAATCGAACATTCAACTGCCTCAATCCCTTATTTGTCGAAGATAGAAATTTTCTAGGGAGGACAATCGTTTTCTGATACTCTCCTGATAAATGATACAACAATAATGTGATTACTGTCGATATCAAGAAAAACTTCAAAATCAATCTCGTTGTTCCAGTCGAAGATATAGAGGGGTCCAAAATGAACAAATGATGGGCCAATCCAGCAATAATTGAACACAATATTGCCAAAAAGATCAAATACTTTCTTCTCATTGCTCGTTGTTGTATGACTTGTTCCCTCAAGCTTTCCTCCAAAATTAACAAGTTTCTAAAAACTTTTCCCGATGGCGGCATGGAAGTATATCCTGTTCCAGACTTGTCTAGTGATCTATGTGACTTTTCACTTGGTTCCTTGGATCTCCTTCGTATTTTCCCACGCAGCTTGCTTGTCCGTTTGCTTGGAGTATCTTCAGGACTTGGGGACATTGTTCTTCTTAAAGGAGAAGAAGATCGTGATGATGTTGAACTTCTTTTACTCTTTGGCGTTTCTTCAACTTCAAAACCAGACTTCAAGGGCACAGTTGAGTGTATTGTTTTGCTCGGAGTGCTCTCATGCTGAAGATCAGCCTTTTCACTATGTATAACATTTATCTCATCTTCATCTTCGTCTTCATCTTCATCAGAACTATGGCTTCTCACCAACTTCTTCAATTGATTTCCAATATCTAGTCTGGACTTGGAGTCGTTATGTTGTAGGTCTAATGAGCTTTGTGAGGCTATGTCGTCAGAGTCGGAATATACCACGAAATCGTTGTAACTGCTTGACGGTATGTTGTGTACATGTGAAATTGTCAAACGCGGGGATTTTGGATGCTCGGGTAGAGAAGTAGCACTCGTGTTCGATGAGCCTGGACTGTAGCTCTCGCTGGCATTAGGGATATCTAATGAACTCGAATTTGACTGATTCTGGTTTAATTCTGAACTATTGGCATCATCAGATTGAGTTGATGCCGATATGGAATTATCACTTGCCATGTTTTCGGATACTTCTTGCGTGATGGCAAAAGATCTAGAATGATCGTATCAGCAGAGTTTAAGGTAGTGATGTATTGGTTCTAAATGACCTCTCGTGATTCATAGGCAGTTACCCAACTCCCTTTGATGTGGTATCAACTTTAATATCGTATGCTAGTTGAAATAACTTTTTCTCAAAGTTTTTTTTTTGTTTTTATTTTTACTTCTTCCACCAAAACAGAAACTTTGGTTAGATCTCTATCAACAGTTATACAGTGCTTGATCGGGACAAGAGGCAATCGATTGAAGGTACTTCTAACGAGGAAATACACAAGCAATGTCTTCCTTGAAACAATTAAAAGAGAGCTTTGTGTCAGATTTGACTGGTGGATCAATTGAAGAAATCTACTTGGTGACGTCGGTGGCCCTAACATCATACCTAGCGTACAAGTTCATCAATGACTCAATCACCCAATTGCCTTTGATTTATGATTACGTCATTAACGTGTTGGCCATACTTGCAGCCATTACAATTTACAGCAACAATACTGCTTTTCTACATTACTCAATATTTATCCCGTCTTTGCTAATTTACGTCCTCAATCATTATACAAGCAATGACAAGATAAGAAAACACAGACCATCAAACAAGCCAAATGATGACCTTTTGTCCCGAAAGCAGTTCCTCACTGCTTATAGGTCGCACATGTTGATAATTACCAATTTAGCTATTTTGGCAGTAGATTTCAGAATCTTCCCCAGAAGGTTTGCCAAGGTAGAGACGTGGGGTACTTCGATGATGGATTTAGGAGTGGGATCGTTTGTGTTTTCAATGGGATTGGTAAACTCGAGGCAATTGATCAAAGCTCATTCCCTGTACAAGTTCAACTTGAATGCCTACCTTAGAATAATAAAGCAAAGCACGGTCAAAGCACTACCCTTGTTAGTGTTGGGATTGGCTAGGTTTGTCAGTGTAAAACAGCTAGAGTATCAAGAGCATGTCACCGAATATGGAATTCACTGGAACTTTTTCATAACTTTGGGATTATTGCCAGTTTTATTAGGAGTCTTGGACCCATTACTTAGCGTTTTACCGAGAGTAGTGGTTGCATTTGCTTTAATTGCATTGAATGAATTATTGTTAAAGAAGACGAAAGTGCTTCTGATAATTTTGTCTAGTGAAAACAGGATGGATAACTTGATAACAATGAATAAGGAAGGCCTCTACTCGTTCATGGGATACTTTGCTATATTCGTATTTGGCCAATCGTTTGGATCGTTTGTTCTAACTGATTATCCTACAAAGAACAATTTGATTTGCATAAGCAAAACTAAAGTTTCTCGCAAAACTACCAATTTCCTATCTGTCCCCACAACACAAGGTTTGCTTATATCAACTGTATTTTATCAAGTTTTGTTCACGCTTGTACGAAATTCTGATAACTTTACAAGCATTTCGAGGAGATTGGCCAATGCTTCGTACGTTTTGTGGGTGGTTTCCTACAACTCTGTGTTCTTGTTGGGTTACGACATAATAGACAAATTGATACCCGGGAAAACCAAGGCTGCTTCCGAATTGTTGGAGGGAGTTAATAACAATGGGTTGTTTGCATTTTTATTGGGTAATCTCTTGACTGGATTGATTAACATGCTGATCAACACGTTAGAAGTTTCCAATACGGTTGCCTTTTTGATTTTAATTGGTTATAGTGCCGTATGGATATCTACAGCGATAGTATTGAATCGCAAACACGTTTATATCAAGCTATAGAGTATAGACTAGAAAAAGGTGGGAAATAGTAAGTGTGACTAAGTATCTGGCTAATGCTACGTAACTCATGTACATGTATAGACGTGATGAAAACATAATTTATTCACAACTGAACCAATTCCATACAATCCGAATGGATCCGTGGGTGTAATACAATGGCATCACAATAATATGTATGCTCGTATAGTTCGTAGATGACAAAATAGAACTCGGGGGGAGAAGAAAAGGAAAGAAAAAAAAAAGGAAGAAAAAGAAGTCGGTAATCAGAGGAGCGATAGAACACACATACTTTGATTAGTATTCAGCAATACTGCAGTGAGAATACCCCCCTCCCCACTATCTACTTTAATTACTGCTAAGCAATCACTTTGTTACTCCAACTAATAATATGGCATCCGACGCTAGACCCGACTCACCTTCTTCGGTATCCTCAAATGCCTCAGCCTCCGCTTCATCGGCTGCTAGTTCTCATTCATGGACATCTTTCCTCAAATCAATTGCATCGTTCAATGGCGATTTATCTTCATTAACTGCTCCGCCATTCATATTATCACCTACTTCGCTTGTGGAATATTCGCAATATTGGGCCGAGCATCCTGATTTGTTCGTTGCTCCAAATAAGTTGACTGTTTCTGAGGATGCCGAGGCAGCAACAGTTGATGCCATGAACTTGAAAAGAGCTATTGCTGTTACCAAGTGGTTTATATCTACTTTGAAATCTCAATACTGTTCTAGAAACGAAAGTATGGGAAGTGAAAAGAAGCCTTTGAACCCCTTTTTGGGAGAAGTTTTTGTTGGGAAATGGGAAAGTGAAGAGTTGGGAGAGACCATCTTGTTGAGTGAGCAAGTTAGCCATCATCCACCTGTAACTGCGTATGCCGTCAAGAATGCAAAGAACAACGTCATGTTGCAAGGATACAATGGTATCACGTCCAAGATTTCCGCAACGTCTATAAACATCAAACAATATGGACATGCCCTTTTGGATTACAATGATTTGAAAGAAAGCTATTTGATTACCTTGCCTCCGTTGCATATTGAAGGGTTGATTACTGCTTCACCTTTTGTGGAGTTAGAAGGCACTTCCTACATACAAGCTTCCAATGGTTACTTTACAGTTATAGAATACAGTGGAAGAGGATGGGTTTCAGGTAAGAAGAACACATTTAAAGCGAGAATATACCGTGATTCCTTTTCCAGCTCATCAAAGGAAAATGCTTTGGTCACAATACAAGGTCAATGGTCTGGGAAATCATACATTGGAAAAGGATCAGCAACTCCACAATCCAAGTCTTCCGAATTGTTTTACGATGCAAATGCATTAAAAGCGGTACATTTGACTGTCAAACCCATTGAAGAACAGAAGGACTTTGAATCAAGAAGGGCATGGGAAAAAGTTGCTGACGCAATAAAGAAGCTGGATTATAACTTAATCGCCGAAGAAAAGTCAAAGATTGAAAACGAGCAAAGAGAATTGAGAAAGAAGGAAAAAGAAACCGGAACCGAATGGAAAACTAGATGGTTTGATCAAGTTGATTACAACAAAGGATCCGAAGATACAAACGTAGCACCACCAGATGATTTCGTCAATTTAACCAACCAAGCCAATTTATCAATCCACAATGCGCCTCTGGGCACATTAAAGAAATCAAAATACGACCATGGGGATGCAAAACATTGGAGATTCAACCCTGAAAAGTTTGAAAGGGATGATATAAAGATCTAGGTGACTTATTTAAGCTGACTAGTGGATTAAGTTTATATATACTAAAGAGTGTAGACCTGTTGTTTCAATGAGTTTTATCATTATCCTACGCAATTTCTTGTTTTCTTCTTTTTTTTGTAAAAGCGCGGAATTTATGCACAGAGTCTTTTGTTCTTTATTATTTTATTTTTTCTCGGCTTTTAAATTTCCTTTTTGGCTATAGAAAATCAGTTGATCTTTTTCCCCAAAGGTTTTTGTTAACGAATCAAATGACATGGACAATTTAACACTGCAACTCCTTCCTTGCCTACTCCGCATCTGGATATATAAATAGAATACAGGGAGAAGCACAACCTTTTACTGAATTCTTTTGAATTACCCATCATTTCCTTTTCCTTTTCTACCAAAGTGATTTATTTCAAACGATACGTCCTTGTCACCCTTTTCATTTTACTTTTAAGCATCCAGGTCTATCCACTATTAAAATCAGTGGTTGCAAAGTTTTTTCCTGCCACTATGCACTCGCCAACTAGTCAAACCATTGTCGTTGGTTCAGGACTTGCGGGGTTGACTACAACGTTGCAGCTTATTTCGCATAATCATAAAGTTACCTTGATTGAAAAGACTTCCAAATTGGGTGGTAATTCAATTAAAGCTTCATCTGGTATCAATGGGGTTCCTACAATATACCAAAATAATGATGATACTGTTGAAGTCTTTAAAGACGACACACTCAAGTCTGGAAAAGGATTATGTAATCTTGCTTTAGTTGATGAATTAACATCACGATCACGTGATGCAATTGAATGGTTGACTCAAGACTTGAAGATTGATCTTTCGCTGGTTACCCAGTTAGGTGGGCATTCATTTGCTAGGACCCATAAAGGGGCTGGTAAATTACCTCCTGGGTTCGCCATAGTTCTGACTTTGGTTAAGCGTATTGAACAGATTCAAGAAAGTAACCCAGACATCTTGACTATATTGAAGAGTAGTCGTTTGAGCAAAATATTATCAGAAAATGGCAAAGTCAATGGAGTTCAATATCAAAATGAAATCACCAATGACTTGAAGGATGAACATGGCGAAAATGTAGTGTTAGCAACTGGTGGGTTTTCAGCAGACACTCAGAATTTGGATACATCTTTGCTCAAACAATATCGTCCAGACTTACTCCAATTCCCATCGTCCAACGGTGAACAAACAACAGGAGATGGACAAAAAGTTGCCTTGCGGGACGTGGATGCTCATTTGATTCAAATGGATCAAATTCAAGTCCATCCAACTGGATTCATTAAGCTAGACAATGTTGAATCCCACTGGAAATTCCTTTGTGGCGAGCTCATGCGTGGTATCGGAGGTATTTTGCTATCTCCCGCTGGGAAAAGATTTGTTAATGAATTGACTACAAGGGATGTCGTTACGGATGCTGTAATAAAAAATTGTCAAGTGAAGCAAGAAAACGAAATGAGTTTGCCAGTTGGGACTTATGTCTCTGTGCTTGTTGTTAGTGGTGACGACTATCCAAAAGCAGCAAATCATATAGACTTTTATGCCTCCCAAGGGTTACTACAAAAGGGGACTGTTGAGGATTTATTAAAGTTGTTACAAAAAATCAACCCTGAGAATGAAAAATTAAATGTTGGCAGTTTGCAACAAGTACTAGATGATTATGGTAATGATGTGAAAACCAAACAAGATCCATTAGGTCGAAGCGTATTTGGAGGTGCAATATCCTCTCAATTTTACTTTGGCTTAACAACGCCAGTATTACATTTTGCCATGGGTGGAATTGAAGTGGATTCCAATGCGCGTGCAATAAACGCTCAAGGCAAAGTGATCCCAAACTTATACGCTGTCGGTGAGGTTAGTGCTGGAGTTCACGGCGCAAATAGGCTTGGGGGAAGTTCCTTATTGGAATGTGTAGTCTTTGGCAAGATTGTTAGTCAACAAATCTTGAACAGTTGATCTATATAGAGGTATAAAGTCAAATTACAGAACAAATTGTCTTCTTCTTCGATGGTTATCAATATTTATATAATGCTTTTTTATATTAACACCAAGTCATTAACTATAAAGTTACACACTTTCGTCATTCTCTTCCCCCCGATAACTGAACAAATAAGGAATGTTTTATTTATATTCGACACCCAGTCCATTCAGTTATAATATGTGAAAAATTTGTAGGTTTTGCTTTTGATTTTGAGACCCTCTTCATTTTGTATGGTTTATCGTATGTTTTCATTTAAGCTTTTCATGAAATCAATTTCAATTAATTTGCTTAGATGTTTGATGGGTACAACATAATTCTAACTGAAGCACCGAAAGTCTTTGGTGGCAAGTTCTTTCTGAAGTTAGCTCTAACTAAACCATTGTTACCGTGGGTTCTAGCAACTTTACCCCAGATGACTCTGATTTTTGAACCTCTGATTTCCTTTTGAGCTCTGTAAACGTAAGCGATTCTTTTACCCAAGTAGAATTTGGCGTCTTGAGGAGAACCAACACCTTCAATTTGAATCAAAGAAACCTTTGGGTTGGTGACGTTCTTTGATCTTTGGTAAGAGATGTGTTTACCTTTAACGTATACTAGAAAACATCAAGTTAGTATTTAATGCCATTGGAAGCGATTTAGGGAAATGCATTTCTGGAGGAACTATGTGAAGTCGACACACGAGTTAGGAAATCAGCCTTTTTGACAGAACATACAAATGAAGTAATGAATGGTCGGTAGGTTCTCTCCAATCATACTTCTGTTGCAACTCTAAAGCTATCCATCATAAAAGCTTTGAGTGATCCTCAAATATTCTGTTCCACTTAATGAACTAATTTCTAACGTGTATCGAAACGTTCAAAAATAGTTGATTACTCCAAAGAATCGTTTGCTATTTCATTCCCTATATCTCATATTCATTTCTAAAACATACATCTGTGTGATTCAGCCATTGTTGATGTTGTATAGGTTGAGGTCTTGATTAACTCTAATGACTAAGGTGAAAATTTGAAGACACAAGTTTTTTTTTTTCCTTCGTACTGTGTGTACACTCAATGGTGTAAACTATGTATTATGTAATCTGCCACGCACTAGTTACGTAACGCTGAGAATCATAGTTTTGTATGAGAATTCCTATAATTTTTCTTTCTCTCTCTTTATGTTTGAGTAAGGGTAGCGCCTTCAAATTACTACTATTAAATATTAGCCCTATGTGAGTGCACGTGCAAGCCCTTCTAACATTATGATTTGACTGCAAAAATGTGTCCGCCAAATATGAAGTAGGCAATTGGTGCAAACCAGTTTCAAAATCTGACCCTTTGTCAGAGTCTTGAATTTATAAAGGTTGTGAGATTAGGAGTTCAGAAACTATATTGCCTAGTTGGATAGAACTTGTTACCTTTTGAAATTTCAGTTTTTTGCAAAAGCCATTTGCCAGTAGCTTGAGTTTGACACAGATGAAAGGTAGAGTCAGATCTGCTAGCAATGTACTGAAACAGTCTAAATTAAAACAAACTATATCTTGCCAAAATTTATCAGATTTGACGTAATCGTTGATTACGAGCTGCTTTAAGTAAACAACGTTTCAGTACAAGTACGAGAGCAAACAGCCACAGATAAGCCAAAGCTAATAAACAACCTGTATACAACCTCCAGTAAATATCCCCACTCTTTTCTGATCAGATATATCCTTGTCGATTTAGCACATGCAGCTTATACTTTTTGCAATCACGAGTTTGCATTTCAAAAGACAGAGACCATTTACACAATAGAGAAAGCGTATAAAAAGGAAGCAGCTTAACTGTAACTACGAAAGATAACGGCAAACCCCAACCACTATAATAACAAAAACAAGGTGAAGGTGAGCATTTTAATTGTTGCCTTAGTTTTCTTACTTTCATTCTCTCATTTTTCGGTCCTTGTCCATTTCCTCGCAAAATATATAATATAATAATCTATTTCATCAAAAGAACCCAAGCGAATGACACACAAAAAAAAGCATAATTTGGAATCGTATGTCATCGCGAGTTTCTGTCATTCATTCAAATTTGTTACATCACTTATTTAAAGCTAGGACGCAAATCAAGTCAATCGATATTAACTTTACTCGAGAAATCTTTTCAGCTGGAAAAATTTTGAAGCTACTTCCACAGTACGATTTTACCTTAACAGTAGAATTGAAAAATACTTGCGTAATTTGCGGGGACTAATTTCGAACATCATTGGTATTCAACAAGCTATTTAATAACAAAAGCAACATACGCCAAAGGAAGCGTAAGAAAGCTCAATTCAATTTAAATTAACTAGAACCTCACACCAGTTGTTGATGCTGACTCAACCAAATACTCAATTTGCTTCATCATCGACAGGGCCAAAGCTGGTCATCGCTAATGAGGAACAGCAGCAACAATTACAATCACCAACTCAAGCACAACAATCTTTGACAAATACACAAAACCACCATCACCATCACCATCATCACCACCACAAACATCCACATCCACATGCACACCATCATCATCATATAATCAACAACCCTAACCATCACCACCATCACCATCATCCTCAGCATAGTAACCACGCACTGAGTCAAAATACTCTAAAAAATAATGAACAACAGGTGCAATTTACGAATGATGGATCTGGAAACAGGCCCCAAGTCACAACAGTTCAGACTTCACTAAAGAAACGAAGTAAGCCACAACTAAACCTTGAACCAATTGAATCAATAGTTGATGAATTTTTCCCGGAAAGACGATTCATTGGCACAATTGTGTACAATCCTACAACAACATGGGAGACACTACAAACTCGGACTCTTTATGGATTGAAGCCATCACTAATTTCACGATTTGATGAAATTAGACAAGGATATAGACAACAAGTTAAACTTAATAATTTATCTACACGATATATTCCAATTATACCGCCCTTACCACAAGAATATATCAATAGTATAATTGAGATCAAGATACCATTTCGGTACATTGTTGAGTTCAAACAAGATTTGAATAACGAAATTGTTAGTAGAGAACTATGGGGTGGAGCAAGTGGCGTCTACACTGATGATTCTGATATATTGCAAGTATTATTGCATATGGGGTTATTCGATAATTCTATCGATTTGAGCGTCTGGAATAAGATGTGGGAAAAGGAGGACCTCTTAAGGCCGATGAATATATTTAATCAATCACAAAATAGATCATCAAAGAGCAGAAAAGAAGAAGAGGAGACAAAAGGTGGTGAAAATGAGGATGCGGCTTCTGCTGGTGAAGCTCAACAAGAACAACAATTGAAAATGACTGCCTCCCAACCAGTTGCTAACATCCAATCAGTTGATAAAAACATATTTGGTGATTTATCAGTTCAAATCCTTCTTCTTCCTGCATTACCTTCATACCATGGATTTTATGCTAATGGAATCAATTCCCGTTCGTGGAACTTAGCCCAATCAACAAATACTCAACACTCGGGATTAAGTTATGCTGTATATAATGTCAAGTGGGAAGAAAGAGATTGTTATTTACAAGATAAAAATTTAATGCGTGCAGTTGAGGTTGAAAATGAAATTGATTATGAATTGAATCATGAAATAATGAGGGAAAAAGGTGGATGGAACTTTGATTATGATGCCTATAAGAAAATTAAAAGTTACACGAGGAGATAAGCTTGGGCCGGTAGATGAAAGAGCAGTAAGATGAATGGGTGTCTATACAAAGAAAAGAAGGAGTCAAAATTGTTTAGAATGAAATTTCAATTCCAGCCAGTTATAGTTTATTATAAATTTTGTGTGGCTTTGTATTAGTTTATGTGTAGCAGAACAAGTTGGGGGTTGGTTACTTTAAGGTTAACCACTATATTATCTATACAAAGGGCTTGACTTTGTATAACCGTATTGATTTGAATCTTTTTTTTTGCAACTCAAAATGCACCTGACCTCATCTGGAGATTAGATAGGAAGAAGTTTATATACAGGATATGTCACTAAGCATTTTATCTGTTTTTTGTTCTAGATTTATTGTCACAATACTTTTTGACATTATCAGTTGTAGCACTTACAAGTTACAAACAATAGCCAAATTCTACCAGTATTACTCCACTACTTCGGTATGGGCTTCAGCAAAAGACTACCGATAGGCTACCGTCTGTTCAAGAAGTTTTCGTTTCTTTTGTTTCTTTTTGTTATTTGTTTTCTTGGGTTTCTTTTTGGTTTCTTTTTGGTTTCTCTTATTTTTTGTTTGTCACAAAAGTTCGCAAATAACCGCCTTTCGGAATATTATTATTAATTATTATCAAAACATCATCGTCTTTCAGTAGTAGAGACAAAATTACCAAAAACTATTACATTTTATTGCATATATATATACGTATCCTTTTATCATCCCCCTCATTTACGAGTTAGAAATATTCAGACGTACTTTTAGGTCTTTCTCATTTTAATACCATATAGCAAACATATCAGAAAAGAATCCTCCTCCCTTGCCCCATTTTGTCCTATTTTTTTAGCTCAACAATTTTTTTTTTTGTTTTTTGTCTGCTTTTATAGAGAAGTAACTTTACTATATCACCATGAGTAGTGAAACTCAAAGTGTAACTGATACCCACAGATCAAAGCTATCCACATTTGCCAAACTTAGAAAATCACAATCAACGCCAAAACTACGAGACCAGAGAAAACCAAGACTTGGTCACACCATTACATCTTACTCGACTATTAATACCCCAACTTCCAATTCCCCAACACCTACATCCACAACTGTGACAACAACACAAGCATCCGCCACTCCTTCAAATAAAGCTACAACACGGGTACCACGAGCAAAAGTGTCTAGTTCAAAGAATACAAAGGGTGCAGCAACGACATCCTCATTGAGATCTTCTTCAGCATCACCAGGGTTTTTCAAAAAGCTCTCGCACGAGTGGCATTCGCTTATTCATCGATTAAAGTCAATATCAGAAGATGTGTTCACTGTTGACACCTTGATTGATGACTTGTTTGTTGATGACGGATCCGATGAGCATATGGCATTTGATAAATTGGTAAGATCGTCAAAAGGGTACAATACAACCGAGGAAAATTTTTTACAAGATTATAAAAAATTCAAGAGTCTAGACAAGATGTATGCTCACTATAACGGCAGTGGTGGTAATAGTAATAGTAACCACAACCAAGCTGTTGTTACTCATAGTCAAGTATTGAATAGTCACGACGTGGGCAGTTCAACTACAGTTGTATCTGACCAAACGAGTTTTAATGTGCGCACAACTTTACAAGATGTCATACGACATCATCAAGCACTGTTTCAAAATATAGATGAAATCACTCTGGATAGTGAAGAAATGAACCGGGAACGAGAAGAAGAAGAGGAGGAAGAGGAAGAGGAAGAGGAAGAAGCATTGGACAGTATCACAGCAACTGGATCATCCACTAATACCCATGAGGCACCACAATTCAATGACATTGATTTCGCTATCCTACGTAAGGAGTTTGAAAATATGTTGGCATCTACTGCTGTGACTACTGCGAAGGTCCCATGTGATTCAACAAAGTCAAATCCCCATGCATTATCATCGTCATCATCATCATCGAGACCTTCATCACAACTGTTACTACTGGCCCAAGATGTAAATGTTGGCACAATATTGTGGAATTATCGTCGTCGTAAATGGCTTCACTGTCCAGACCCCACGAAATCAGAAGCCCGGATTAAACAAACCTCGATATCATATATTCCTAAGGAATCATACTACAAAATTTATTATTCGTTAGTTGATGAGAATAAAGTGTTGAAACAAGATAAACATATCAATTTACGAGATTTAATCAAGATTATCCATGTTGGGTGGATTGAGGAGAAGAAATGGGATCCATAAACATGTTCGTGGTTTTTAGTTCTCTTATATAATAGCATTTTAATGTAATAATAAACTTAGCATTCAATTTTGAAACTAGAAAACTATCTAAATTCCCTGTGACTCCACAGGTTCAACCACTTTGCAACCCTTTTTAAACTAAAGTCAGCTTTTACTATTTTCGTTTATCAATCTTAATGTGTGCTCCAATATCCGCAAATCCTGATCGATTAATTCACACCTCTTTTGTAAACCAACTTTAACCGCATTGCTGCTTTCTCCTTCATTGCGTCCAGCCCTGATTACTCTTCCACTGCTACTGCTACTACCATTTGCCTCTGTTTCATTACTTACATCCACCTCATCCCTAACATCTCTTCCATCAATATGAATAACTTCGTTCATTGCATCGAATTTTTGTCTACATCCTTGACTCAATTTGGTAACTTTGCGTTTCATTTTCATCATGTTGTAGTAATTTACACTAATCTCTTCATTCAATTGGTGTTCGATATTATTGTTCAATTGATGTATGGTTGTGATCTTGTCTAATAAATTGCTTTTGGTAGTTAATGGATTAGTATCTGAATTGGAAGATACTAGGTAATTAGTTAGTGTGTGTAGTTGTTTGATGTAGTTTGCCGATTGCTTTAGATCCTGTTGTTGTGCTTGCTTGGCTTGCTGAAGTATATTTGTATGTGGTGTCGGAGCAGTTGTTGTTGATGGAACTGATGGATGGGTTTGCTGGTCTGAATTCGAAGCTGTCATCTAGTTGCAAGTGAATGTAGCTATTATAAAGGTTGGGTGTAGTTCCTCTGCCAGTTGTTTGGCTTATCCAAGGAAGTGGAGTCGTTTTTCTCGAACTTACGCGTGGAGAGATAAGATTCTCAAATGTTATCATTTATTTCAAAACTGGGGGAAAAGTAAGATGCATGTTTACCGTTGTATATCACAATTGCTTGATACTCTCAAACAGCCTATGAGTTGAATACACTCTACATATAAAGTTGTAACTGCCCAGTGAAAGATGTCCCGTCATACAAATGCGCAGCACAGTTATTTTATTTAATTTTGCAACCAAAATTGTTTTCTGCAAAAGCTGACTAAGAAATCAAACTTCTAAATCTTCTAATAATATCGCTTCACCATGAGTACTGGTCCACAGATGAGCATACTTCTAGTAGAATTGAATTATTGCGAAGTTCATCTGGTTATGAAGAGAAATAGTGCTTTGAAACAGTCACATTGTGTAAACTACGAGACAGGAACCACACATTAGACAATGCGGATTTGAAGCTGTCAAACTACTGATATATCATGAATGTGACTGTATCATATTATTATCAAGCCCACTGGTTAAAGATACTTGTGTTGGTTGTGCCTTTTCCTTATGGCTGAGCTACCAAAGAAAATCAGAAGTTAGGGCTTAGACCTAATTGACATTTTGAGAAGTAGCAGTGCTACCAAAATAGTTTATATGCAGTGCTAAATCAAAGGATAAGTTTGTGTAATATTAAACACACTTAGTTGAGTTCACTACCAATGTGACTGTGAGTGGAATTTGAAAAAAAAAAAATTTTAGAAATCCAGCTATCCAAGTAGTCAACCCATACAAATCTTAATCAACCACAATGGCTTTACAAGACGTCGTCACCAGGGAATACACCATTAACTTGCACAAGAGAGTATGTTTTAAAGCAATAGACTTGGATTCAGCCAAGGATGGCTCGAAAGAAAATGGAAAAGTAGCGCAGAGCGTACCATGTTATTGCAGAGAAGGAACTCATTGCCATACGATGTTCGTCACATCGCTTAACAGTTTTGCATTTTTAGAATGAATACTGGGCATTCAAGAGATGGCAACGGTTATAGTTTTCAAAATTGGGAAGGGGATTCATCCAGTTGGGGAATAACAAACCAACCTTTTGGGGATACTACGAGAAGTTTTGAAAATGAATCTCATTTGACATTATCCGACAGAGTGAACCTTTGCCTGCTTCAACTAGAGTACCTCGCTGCACCATTTCTTCAAACATCACTCTTTCCTTAGAGTAATTTACTAACAATTAACCTTTTAGTTGCACGGTGTCAATTTCAAAAAGAGAGCTCCAAAAGCTGTCAAAGAAATCAGAAAATTCGCTACTTTGCATATGGGAACCACTGATGTCAGATTAGACCCAAAGTTGAACGTCGCTTTGTGGAAAAGAGGTGTCCAAGGTGTTGAACACAGAGTAAGATTGAGAATTTCAAGAAAGAGAAACGATGAAGAAAACTCCAAAGAAAAATTATTTGCTTATGTTGAACCAGTAATTGTTCCTTCTACCAAGGGTTTGCAAACTGTTGTTGTTGAAGATGAAGAGTAAATTTGATTTGAATTGCTAAGATAAAAAAAGGAGTTTAAATTGAATCAGGAAAGACAGGTTGTGAAGACACAGGGTTACTAGTTTGTATAATAACATAAATTAACGCACATAATAGGAAATTCGAGTTGTAGAATGAGCTTTTTAAAGGTTTTCCAATTGTAATTCTTTGTAGTCGAGTCAATTGGCAGGTTGAAAACTCGGCAAAGACTACAATTTATAACTGAAGAAGCCATGAATGACTTATAAGAGGTAGAGTCAACATCATCAATTTACTCTACGATTTATTCAGTTTCAAACAGAACCTTCCGTGTATTTTATATACAAAACATAACGAACCTAATTGCAAAGTTAGTAAAAAAAATTCTTTTTCAAGTAATCATCCCCCATTATACTTCAGAAAAGAAAAAGAGTAGCATCATTGTATCAGTGTAACTATGACTATTAATACCATATCATTGCCAATTGGTCCCAAATTTCATCAAAACGACGAAAACGTAAAAAACGGGGACCTGTTAGACAGCTCTTAATTGGTATGGATAAAATAAAAGAAGTTATCATCATCTTATTCTGCTCTTTTCCTTTGATGGAGGGTTTTCAACTTGTAAGTTAAAACATACTGTTTGTTGAAGGTTTGGACCCAGATGGAAGCTATTTCAGAGATGAATTGCTTGCAGTGGGTAGAAGATCTCAAACCTTTTTTTTTTTTCTTTTCTATTTTTTCACACTTTGAAATGTGCGATGATATTGGTAGCGGCTAACTTCTTACACGCGACAGGTTCTGATTAGAGGGGTAGGTTGTGCAGAATGTTTACACACAAGTTGGTCTAGATTGGGGAAGATATTAGTGAAATCAAAGCTTAATTTCACTCTAGTAGGCTGATTGTCGAAGGTGAGCCTAAAGGAAGCTCTCTTGTTCCCTCAATTGCATCTGCGTTGAAAGGCTCAGCATAATTTAGCTTGGCAGTAGTTTGACATCCAGTGGGCTAGTTCCACAAACCCCTCATTCTTCTACATTTCACACTCCAACTCTTTCCAAGGTTCGTTCTATTCCTTCTAATTTGTACCACACCAATTTTCACAAATTGGTAGCTCTTCCCCACAATGAGTTTTTTCTTCATATCCAGCGGAACAATATTCTTCGGTGAATAAAATCACATTCAACGGCCGACACATTTTAGACTTCCATCAACAACAATTCTTTAGCGACGTTTCAATATGCCTTCAGTTGCAGATGCTACGCAAAATGATAATACTTCATTTGAATCAGTGTCAACAGTGGCGAACGTCAGTGTAATCAGTGATCCAAAAAGGAATGAATTTGACATCGTTGAGGTCTCCAAGGACATATTTAATGAAATCTTTCCTGGCAACACAGATGCGGAAGTCGAATATCCCACATACGTACCAAGGGATAGGTTTATTCTTGTGAAGTTAGTAGGGGTCCCAGATTATTTTGACAAATTTCAAATAATCAAAATTGGAAGAGTCCTGCACAAACTAACCAAGTCGATCGTGTTTATCAATAGCTCAAGTTTGGCAAGATTCAATAGTGATGAGTTGACGTTTAATACGGCAGTGGTAAAATCGATTGACGAAGCTTCCATTCCCAAATTGTCACAACTTTTTGTCTCAGTACCGAACGATATTTACCATTTGTTGAAGGACAAAACTCAACAAGCGATAAAGCAATTGTTTGTCTTTCAATTTCTAGTGGGCAACGGTAACGTGGCTAATGAAGGAGATACTATTCGTTTGATCAACGGAAGAGCCAATTTGTGCGAGCCTGTAGCTCAAGGTAAAGTCGATCTTGACACAAACTTTGTTTTGATTAACCAAAGCGAGGCTAACAATGCTCTTATTACCAACGGGTCTACTGACAACACTGATGACGTCGATATGGGTCTAGACTTGTCGAGTTACTTGTCGTCGGGTTTGCAATTTAATACACATACAATGGCGATCAACGCCGTCAAGTTCCGCGTTCAGCCTTTATTTGAAAAAATGCATTTGGAACATGTTCCAGAGGAATGGCGTAAAGAGGACAAGGAGTTGTATGTGTTTATAAACAACTCAGACCTTACAAAATTGGGTTTCCCCGTCTTTAATGGTGATTTAGTCAAGATCAACACCGCAAAGGAGTCTGTCATTGTTAGAATCTTTAGCTTTACAGAACCTCAATCTTCATTTGGGACTGGATACGTGTACGTGTCACCGATACTTTTGATCAATTTACAGCTTAATTTAGATTCTCAAATCACACTTGAACCAGTAAAGGGCGATTTGTTGACCAGACTCATCCCTGTTGCCGAATCAGCTACAATTTCCAGAGTTAGCTCGCAAATCACCATGGACAAAACGTATCAGCAAAGTTTCTTTTCCAGCTTAAAAACAATTCTTAGTGATCAGTTGAAATGTGTCAAGGAAGGTGATTACTTCCCAGTTGTCATTGATACTGTTTTGGCAAAAGTCATGTTTGATAATGCAAATGAGGAAAATAACGAAGAAAATGGTGAGCAGAATTTAGAAGTGATTCCAGTGGGGAACCCAGATGCAGTTGCTTGGTTCAAAGTCACAGATATAAAGGGCACGAATGAAGTAGGCACCAACCAATTTCTCATAAATCCAACAAAGACTCTACTTGTATCATCAGGTGTTGAAAGCTCGAGATTACCAGAAAATGAATATGCCAGTTGGTACCAGTACCTCAACTTGCCGCCAATTTTCAACTACAACAATGCATCTAGTGATTTCAAATATGCACAGGAGTTTAAAAAGATTTTGAAAACGTGCTTATCGTCTAAAATCAATCTAAGAACGTCAATTCTCTTGACTTCAATGAGCAGGGGGATAGGGAAAACAACATTGGTCCGTAGCACTTGTATCGAAATGGGATTGAACTTGATTGAACTTGACTGCTTTGATTTCATCAACCCCGGCCAGGAATTGAAAACGATTGGATTGCTTAGTGGTAAAATTGATAAATTGATAGCAAATGTACCAAACCAGTCAGCTTTTCATGTCATTTACTTAAAACACATTGAGAATTTGGTGCCCAAAACGGATGAAAATGATCTGAATTCTAGCATTTTTTCGTCGCTTTCGCTAAAAGTTATTGAAACCTTGACTGAATACTTGGAAAAATATTCCAATCTCGTTGTTGTTATGAGTTGTAATGATTATGACAAGTTGAATGACAACTTGAAATCAATTTTAAAGTTCACTATAGAATTTACCGTACCCACCGAAAACGAACGTTTGGAGATTTTCAAATATTTGGTTGCAAATGAGAAATCTAGAACACCATCTACTGATCTCACGTCTTTCCCATTTGTGACAAGAAAAGACATCAACGCAAAGACACTTGCTTTACAATCGGCCGGATTGACGCCACGAGATTTAATATCGATTATTAAGAAATCCAAAAAATTGGCAATCAAGCGGTTGACAAAATTGTCAAAGGAACTAGGCATTTCAGTGGAACATTTGATCAACATAGGAAATGGTGGGGTTATAACCTGGATACCAGATGATTTTGAGGCTGCCATCAACGAAGCTAGAAACCAATTTAGTGACTCCATTGGGGCTCCTCGTATACCGAATGTTAAATGGGAAGATATTGGAGGATTGGATTTAGTCAAGGATGAAATCTTGGATACTATTGACATGCCTTTGAAACATCCAGAGTTGTTCAACAATGGACTTAAAAAGAGAAGTGGAATCTTGTTTTATGGGCCACCAGGTACTGGTAAAACTTTACTAGCTAAAGCTATAGCTACAAATTTCTCTTTGAATTTCTTTTCAGTCAAAGGTCCTGAATTGTTGAATATGTATATCGGTGAATCGGAAGCCAATGTGCGTCGTGTTTTCCAAAGGGCAAGAGACGCCAAACCTTGTGTTATATTCTTTGATGAGTTAGATTCAGTGGCACCAAAGAGGGGTAACCAAGGTGACTCTGGAGGTGTTATGGATAGAATCGTTTCTCAATTGCTTGCCGAGTTGGATGGTATGAGCAGCGAAGGTGGAGATGGAGTATTTGTTGTTGGTGCTACAAACAGACCTGATTTGCTCGATGAAGCCTTGTTGAGACCAGGTAGATTTGACAAGATGTTGTATCTTGGAATATCCGACACAGACGATAAGCAGACCAAGATATTAGAAGCATTGACAAGAAAATTCCAATTGGACGATGGGGTTGATTTGAAAAAGATTGCCGAGAAATGCTCATTTACGTACACTGGTGCTGATTTCTATGCTTTATGTTCCGACTCAATGTTGAATGCCATGACAAGAGTTGCTGGCGAAGTTGATGAAAAGATTAAGGGGTACAATGCTGAAATGGTTAGCCAGGGTAAAAACGAGGTTAATTCAAGATGGTGGTTTGACAATGTAGCTACAAATGAAGATACTACTGTATTGGTGAAGATGGAGGACTTTATCAAGGCACAAAATGAATTGAACCCATCAGTGTCTGCTGAAGAATTACAACATTATCTTAGAGTGAGAGAAAACTTCGAAGGTGGTAAGGAAAAAGCCCAGACACAGCTTACAAAAGATAATGAGTTGAGCAATGGTTCCGTACAACATGAGTAGTTGCTTTTAGATAAGTACTACAAATTATACTTTGGTCTATATACTTTTGCAGTTTTCTCCTTCCCGGCCCATTGCTTCTTTCTTAGTGTACCTATTTTTTCGTATCGGTGATGTATCTGTTGTATGTATTTCATAAACTTGAACTTAGATTTATTTGCCAGTTGGAACTGTTCATTTAATTGCTGGATTGGCAAGTCAAACACTTTTATGAAGTCCTTTTCTGATGGATTCTTGACAGGTTTGATGCAATACTGCACACGCCACGAGTCAGGCATATGACGAGGCAAGTTGTAGTAAGCAGTTGTTTCCGCATCGATATAACTGCTACCCATGGTGATTGCATATGACAAAAGCCTTTTCCCTTTTAAGGAGTCAATATTAAATTTTTGTAGTTCCGTTGCATGCTTCTTTATGTTGACATCTCTTTGCTCCTGAGTTAAATCTTGTTTGAAATCAGTTGGATATCGATCAGCAAACAGTTGAAACAGTTGGATCTCATCGACCGACACTGGGATGGCATATATTCTCAATTCCTGAGTCCTACCATAACGTGGTCTGTATGTTTGTACAACTAACCTGAATGCAGTATCTTTTAAGCCACTAGCTTCAAAGTCTTTGATAATATGTTCCTTTAGCAAGGTTTCCCAAATTTCCATTGTGAATTTAAACTGTGTTTCTCCAACCAATGATGGCAACTTATCCATTTCATAGATTGCCTTCAAACTTGATTCACTGGAATCCGAAGCAACTGTGGTGTAATCAGCATGAGAGTAGAAGATTTTATCCAACTCTTCTAATGGCAAGTACTGAAACCCAAATATGGAATTGATATTATGATACGCAATAAATATCCCATCCATTTGCCCAATTCTTGCCTGAAATAAGTATTTGAGTAAAGCTCCAGTTTTTATGAGATCACGGAATTCTTTTTCGTAACTTTCATATTGTCCAGTCAATTTAAATATTTGGTAGTCGGTTTCTCCCACATTAGGGTCATGCGAATTATACCTTATGTTGGTAGATGCTCTAGTTTTCAAATCAAATGTTCCTTTGCCCGGAAGTCTCTCATCAAAACAATCTAGCTGGGAACGCATTAAAAAGTCACCAAAGGATGCATAGTTGTAGGCATTTAACGGAGATGGCGGGGCTTCCTCCGTGCTATCCTTTCTATATTTGACAAATTCATCTTCTGGATTCGTCAACAAGGTTTCCATACAAATACCCATTGCACTGAGCAAAATTTCAGAGTCGCAGGACTTGTCAGCCAGGAGTGAATACACCGTTTTCTTTTTGCTTTTAGAAGTGAACGAGCCTTTAGGCTCAACAAATGTGCTACTTGGTAACTTTGTAGCTACACCACTCAATGGAATTTCGCCAAACCTCTCCACTTTAGACGGCGAATAGTTGTTCAACAACATGTAAAATTTGCTCAATATCGAAGTCATTGATGAAGTACTTGAGTAAAATTGCTTTTTGAAAAGTTTGGCATTCTCCAACAAAGTCTTATGCTTATCCACCGGCGTGTAACTGCCTGCAGCATCAAAGTTGAAGTCCTTGTAATGTATTACATTCTTCAAGAAAGGAGAGAAATTGTAAACACGGGTTCTTGGGTCCTGTAAAAAATGAACCCCAGGCGAAAACAAGACTCGATCCAAGTTGTGAGCCAATCGCGGTATGTCCTCTTTTGTTGGTGCTATGCACTGCTTCAATTGTTTCTTAACGACATTCTGTGATGTTAGACGCGTTGTACCAGACTCGCAATCGAGCTTGTCACTTGTATCGGAAGGCTTTTTCAGTCTCGATCGCCTTTTGGAGGATCTAGCTTGTGGGTTTACCTTTCGGAGACGGTCCATTGTGCTAAGAGCTCGATCAATTTTATTGGTATTATAATTGTGGGTTTTGCCAGAAGTGGCAACTTCGTTTCCTGGCTTTTGTAATCTTTTGGATTGAACATCTGTTGGTGGTTTATCAACATTCGGTAAATATGAAGTAACGTGATCTCTTGATGAATTCGTATTTACCTTTTCAGCATTTTGTACACGGGTACCATTCGTTGGATGTTTGGAATCGTTGTTGGGTATATTCTTCTTGAAGGCGTTATCCATAACATCATTTTTTGCATTGTGCTTCAGTGAAACCTTCAGATTGACTCCAGATTGGTTTGAAATGTTTCTAGATAGTATCAAGATAGATCGTAGGGGGACCAGTTTGCCCCATATGTATGTTATAAGTCTCATGCTATGTTATATTTACCCCATACAGCGATGAGATCGAATGGATTCCATAATTTCGCAATATGTCGCGCATCGCGGAGTTTCGAGATTGCTGAACTACCACGCCCGGAATCAATAAGAGAGAGTTTCATATACTCTTTGACACTCTTCAGCTAACTCAAACATGATCCGTTATAAGAATGAAGGCTCATAGGCAAGGTTCAGCTGAGTTAATAACGTTAGCAAAGTGGTAAGCGGTGACGTTATTGAGTGCACATAGTACATCTACGATCCCCAGAATGTCTCTGTTGGCAATTGAAGTTGAACGGGAGAAATAGTAGATAACGAAACTGTAGAACTAAGTCACCGCATCCAAGGTTCTTCTACAACACTAGGTTGGCAAGTATGAACAAAGTCTGAGCTATCTCTACCTGCCATATGGTAGCTAATTCATATTTTAGGGCTAAACCCTAATAATATTTTCTTACACAAATTTGTCTCGTTTTTGAAAGGAAGAACAAAAAAAATACACACACAGCTTTTAGCTTTAGTCCCATACTAACGAAAATAGTGCGGAACCTTACCAATCTAGTGAAAAAAAAATCTCACCTAAAAAATTAATCTAACACCTTTCCTGAACACCTAATCAAACCAAATCACTAAACAATGGGTATGTCGTTACATTACAAGGGAAACAGATCAGTTTGCATTGCAGTCTATTGCACAGCTCATGCTCAACAAGGAGGCTGAGTTCATCGACGAGCAAAACAAGTACCATCCACGAGCCAACAATGACCAAGATGTGTTTTCAAACTTATCACAGAGAATTTTGACCCAAAATACTAACATCATATTACAGGTAGAGTCATTCGTAACCAAAGAAAGGGTGCTGGTTCCATCTTCACCTCACACACCAGATTGAGAAAAGGTGCCGCCAAATTGAGAACCTTGGATTACGCCGAACGTCATGGATACATCCGTGGTGTCGTCAAGCAAATCATCCACGATCCAGGTAGAGGTGCCCCATTAGCCAAGGTTGCTTTCCGTGACCCATACAGATACAAGTTGAGAGAAGAAACCTTCATTGCTAACGAAGGTGTTTACACTGGTCAATTTGTCTACGCCGGTAAGAAGGCTTCATTGAATGTTGGTAACATTTTGCCATTGGGATCTTGTCCAGAAGGTACTATCGTTTCAAACGTTGAAGAAAAAGTTGGTGACAGAGGTGCTTTAGGTAGAACTTCTGGTAACTATGTTATCATTATCGGACACAACCCAGACGAAAACAAGACCAGAGTAAAATTGCCATCCGGTGCTAAGAAGATCATTTCTTCAGACGCCAGAGGTGTCATTGGTGTTGTTGCTGGTGGTGGTAGAATCGATAAACCATTATTGAAAGCCGGTAGAGCCTTCCACAAATACAAGGTCAAGAGAAACTCATGGCCAAAGACCAGAGGTGTTGCCATGAACCCAGTTGATCACCCTCATGGTGGTGGTAACCATCAACATATTGGTAAAGCTTCTACTATCTCTAGAGGTGCTGTTTCAGGTCAAAAAGCAGGTTTGATTGCTGCTAGAAGAACTGGTTTGTTACGTGGTACTCAAAAAACCGCTGATTAATTTACGTGTACATTTAAATAGTTTTGGGGTTTTTATAATAATATAAAAGAGAAATAACTAGCAAAAATGTAGAGATGAGTTAAGGAGAATGGATTTGAGCATTGAAGTTGGAACTGAGGGTCAGCCCAGGACTGACAATCATTGAAGTTGGATCAGGGGATTCCAATGGGATATCGTTTGGTGAAACTTCAGATATTGAGTCTAACCTGACCAGCTGCTCGTCATTTACTACATCTTGGGTACTCGTACTTTGCACAGAGACCTCTCTTTCGATCTCTTCAACCTTGTCGACCTTTGCCGGCTTCAACTCAACTCGTTTCCCATTTAGTTTCTGCGACTTTAAAGACTCAATGATCTCATCCAACTTTTTTGTTGATGAATCAACGGTGGCCAACACACTAAAGTAAGAGCCTGTAAGGTTCATGGGGTTTATGATGGACTTTTTATTTTTGCAAATGATGATGTTGCTGGGGTTGTACTCTTTTAAGAATTGTTGGATTATCAGCTCTGTTATGTTACCTCTTGCTTTTGAAATCAAAATGCGGTCTTTTGCTATCAATTCTACAGGGGGCTCAAGGCTTTGGGAGACCTCTGTTTGATTCTCAATTTGGGGAGTCTTCCTCTTCCACCACAACCTTTGGTAAGGTCTGTAAGAAGTGTAAGCCTTAACAATAAGTTTTTTCCCATTGAAGACAGTCCCATCGAGATCTTTTACAGCAGCTTCAACCTTCTCAGGAGTCGGTAATTCAACGTAGGCAAAACCTAATGGTTTTCGTTTCCCACTTTTACTAAACTTAACTGTATAACTGGGGACTAAGATAGTTACTCTGATTTGTTAGCGTGTGCTGCAAAAGAGCTGACCAATAGCATTAAACTTACGGTTCATATTTTTCAAACAAGGCACGTAAATCCTCTTCACTGGTAAGGTAATGGAGATTCTTGATATAAACACGACTAGGATTAGTACGCACACTTTCTGGCATTTCTGTGGTGGGAAGGTTGTGTGTTTGGTTGCAAAAGTGATATTGGGTTTTGATTTTTTTCCTGCTTTTATGCGTCAGAAACTTCACCACATCAGATGCATAATATTTTCTTCTCATGCAGTTACTTTTAAAACAATATATAGGAGCTATTATCTCCGCCATTGCTTAAGTCAAGTGTTTAGAAAGTAAACAGTTAACCGAGTAAGATTCATCTTTGAGGCTATACTAGAAATGCAGAAATGAGCCATACAGGCGAAGATTACAAATGGATCAATATCTACAAGATGCAACTAGACCGCCGTGATTTGGTTCACCTTCGCTTGAAACTAAAACAAGCTAAAAAGACGCTGCTCTATGATGGGGCTTTATCGTACTACAATTTAGAGAATAAATAGAAATGCGAACATTGTAATTCGTAAGTCTTTAGGAGATTAGAGCCAGTGTAGGATTCACCTTCTAAAATCCATTGTTAATTGAAAGTAATGCCAGGAAATCGCAGATGAGATGCGTGCTCAAATGTGTTAATACTTTAAAACGTTTATTCAAAAACTATTGAAACTAGTTCTCAGCTTTTGCCTTAGCCAAAGCTTTAGCAGTACCGTGCAAAGCATATCTGTGGTTTCTTCTGAATTTAGCGTCAACACCTTTCAATGATGGGTACTTGTAAGTCTTTGGCTTCTTAATACCGTTCTTGTGGGCCTTCTTGTTTTGGTTGTGGTTGGTGTGGTTCTTACTTTTAGCCATCTATTACTAGTTAGTATTAGGTCCCGTGGAGCTGACCACAGATTGGATGTGAGAAGAATGATCCTATAATGTATGGATTTGTAAATGACCTTATAACATCTGGCTCTCAAATGATTCTATAATCTCCTTTTCCATTCTTGATTTTATTACACATAGGCTATGATTCGTCCATCATTAAATGCTCTCTGCAACTGTCACCCCTCTCTCCAATCGAATGTGATATATATATGCTATAATGATGCTGGAACATACCTTTGTTGTCTATTGATTGGTTTGTAATGTAGAAAACAGACAAACAGTGAATAATTTTTCGTCTATTAAGAAATGCTCTGGCAAACGTTGTCGCACGCCGCACAAATTTTTTCCTCATTAGGGAGAGCCCAATTAAAACATGGCTATAGCCCTACTATAGCTACCAAGTGACGTTCGAATCAGCTCGGTGATTGAGTCTCTAGACAAAAGCAACCTATACAGAGGTAGATAAATTGGGAGCTTATCGCTTTTGAAAGATGTCGTATCACGTCGCTACGACAATTTTTACAATATAATCATTAGTCTAAATTGATCATATTACATTACCACAAACTATACAACTCTCTAGTTACTGACCCCAGCAGCAGCAGCAATAGCTTTGGCTTTCTTCTCAAGCTTATCGTTGGCCTTGGATCCCATGATACCACCACCCCAGTGTTTTTTATTCTCGTCGTATTTTTGCAAGTAGTTAGCATCAATAGTTGAAACCAATTTTGATAATTCAGCTTCATCAGCAGATGAAACTTCGGTCAAAGCGGCAACTGATGAGGATTTTTTGTGAACCAAAGTTCCCAATCTAGCCTTACCCTTGACAATAGCGTATGGGACACCCATCTTCTTACATAAAGCTGGTAAAAAGATCACCAATTCGATTGGGTCAACATCGTTGGCAATAAGAACCAACTTGGCTTTCTTGTTTTCAATAAGGGAGACAACGTGGTTCAAACCGTACTTGACGACAACTGGCTTTGGTGAAGCATCCTTGGCAGATTTACCTTCAGCAACAGCAGCAGCTTCCTTGGTCAATCTTTCTTTCTTTTCAGCAGCAGTTTCTGGTTTGTACCTGTTGAACAATTTGAAAGCTTGTGCAGCAGTGTTTTTGTCGAGAGTGTAGTTAAATTGTGCAATCGAGGGAGGAACCTTCAACCTCAAAGACAAAATCTTCTTTTGTCTCTGCAATCTGACGTACTCGGGCCATTTGACAAACCTTGACAAGTTTCTCTTTGGTTGTATTGATTGTCCAATACCAAAGTTTTTTGGCGTCGAGTCAAGTAAAGGATTCTTAACTGCAGTAGTTTTGCTAGACTTGGTAGCAAATGGAGCTGGAGCAACTTTCTTTGAGGAAGGCTGTGTCATTGAATAAAAGTTAATAAAAGGTGTTCTCAAACTTAATCTCAACAAACAGTCCTTTTCACTTTTACTCTACAGTATCAAAACGATACTCAGCCTGTGCATCAAGAAGCGATGTCAGGGAAACTTACCACCACTCCAAGATGCACAAACAAACGCGTAAAGCGGGTTGTGACGAGGAGGATGCTGTTCCAGCTAATAACATACCATTTGTGTATTAAATATATCGAGCTTGTTGTTGAGTGTAGTGGATTTAAAACTTTTTCACTTTTTTAATTTTTCACTTTCGATGTTGGTCAAATAAAGAGATACTAAAACAGAGAGAAGGATGGAGAAAATTTTTCTTTTTTTTCTGGACAACAGTACACGACTTACGAACAGTATAAATACTAGACGTTCCCCTGGTCTCCCTTATTCTGAAAACCAAATCTCTTTGCCATTTGGCTTAGATCCAGTGTAGTATCTGTTCTTTTCAGTGTAACAGCTGAAATGTCATCATTGATGACTCAATATGTTACAATATGAAAATTTTTGGAGAATGGTAGGTTGGTTTCAAATGGGCTTGCTCATAATCAACCTGCACAGCGTCGTTGCCTTCACTGGCTCCTGACGCGAAACACCACTTTTTAGGTCTTTCGTCTGTGCCTCTATTGTTTAAATGGAGTCATGATAAAGATGTAAAAAGCTTAGCGTGTTAGCGTGGATGTACTGCTTTTCATATACTCCTTCATTCCCGCATTTATCTCTCTACTCAGTCTCTGCATAAACACCTTCTTCTTCGTGCGCGATGTTCACAAAATAAGTTCCGCATTTGACCACAACCACACAAATGGACCTGATATCGACAGCCTCCGTCAACCTATTTCCAAGTTTAAGTAACCCAGATGGCAACTCCGAGGCAAGCTCAGCTTCACTACGGCGACTACGGTATGCCTTTGGAGGACCCGAAGAAGTGGATCTATCCATTCCGGACGACAACTCCATTGATTTGTCAACATATCTGACAGTCGACGATGTGTCCCTCGACTCCAGTCTAATTACTGAAATAGCCAACAACCATGTATTTGAAGATGGAAGATTTAAATACCTACGAGCTTACGAAAGACTAGCGGCGGAAAGAGGTGCTAGAGAGATAGGCAATGGTATACCATTGCAAACTATTGAATTAGACGATTTCGAAAAGTTTGTCAAGGAGAGTGCTTTAAATGATAAGATTCAAGGGCGAGTGTTAGCAAAACTACCGCGAGCTCAACAGAAGGAGACTGTTTTAGACGTGGTTAGAGAACAAGACCTTGCAAATGATTTCTACGCCGACAGCAACGAAACCTCTGAGATCAAGAGTCGCAGACTAAAGCTGCATAAGCCAGATAAAGAATATGCCCTTGACGTGGAAGATTTGTACTGCCCAACCAGCCAAAACAGACTTCACAGAAAATTAAGTGTACGACATTTACAAATGATTTCTTTGGGTGGAACTATTGGAGTGGGGTTGTTTTTGAACTCGGGAAAGGCCATTAATATCGCCGGTGGGTTTGGGGCGCTACTAGCGTTTGCTATAGTAGGAGTGGTTGTAATATGCACGATGATGTCCTTTTGCGAAATGGTAACATTTGTATCGGTAATCGATGGGGTGTCGGGATTGAGCTCGAGATTTGTTGATGACGCATTTGGTTTTGCAACAGGGTGGTTGTATTTTCTAAGTTTCGCCTTTGGAGTAGCGGGTGAAGTTGTCGCTGGAGTTATCATGTTGTCCTTTTTCCCTCTGCTCAAAACTACAACGAGTAAAGGTGCCACAACAGGGTTTGTTTTTCTTTTCCTTGGCTCAATAATTTCAAGTAATCTTATTGATATACGGGTATTTGGAGAGATTGAATACGTATCAAGTTTGGTCAAGCTACTATGGGTGGTGGTAATGATGATAGTCATGATTGTATTGAACCGGGGCGGATTTGGCGGGCCAGCTGTGGGATTCAAGTATTGGATGCGCCTGAAGTCAGACTTTGAAAACAATGTCATTTTTGGACTCTTCCGCCCTAGTTTCAATTTATACGACAATGGAACCAGCCCACCAAGCGATGGGATCGAAGGCGACACGGGGAGATTCTTGTCATTGCTCACTGCTATTCTTGTTGTCTGTTATGCTTACAGTGGTACTGAAATTGTTTGCATTGCCGCATGCGAAGCCAAGAATCCAAGAAAGGCCTTGCCTTCAGCAATGAGGAGAGTGTTTTGGAGAATCGTTATCTTTTACTGTCTCTCGGCTTTCTTGGTCACTTTGAATATTTATGCTGGTGATCCCCGCTTGCTCAGGTATCTTCTGGGTAAAACAGGAATTGATGAGTCTGAGTTTGCAAGTAATATTGCTGTGCAGACTGTTGGCGGGGTCCATTGCTCATACGATTCATCAATTTATGCGGGGTATGGAAGTGGTTCACAAAGTCCTTGGATTGTAGCTCTCCAAAGCGCAGGGCAGTGTGATTTCAGCACTGTGGCGAATGTCTTTTTGGTTTTCTTTGCAGTGAGTTGTGGGAATGCACAGCTATACGTCAGTTCACGAACGGTGTATGCATTGGCGCTACAAGGAAAAGCACCAAAATTTCTCACATATTGTAACAGAAATGGAATTCCCTACAATGCCGTCATGTTTGCCGGATCATTTGGATTGTTAGCGTTTACTTGTGTATCTGAATCAGCTACTGTCGTATTTCAAAATTTAAACAGTGTCATCGCTTCTTCGGGGATATTTGTCTGGTTTGCTATGTGTTTGACGTTTATAAGGTTTTATTATGGATTGAAAAGAAGACCAGACATAATGAGCCGAAACGATGTATCTTATCCTTACAAGTCCCCGTTTCAGCCATACGCAGCGATTTTTGGTATGTGTGCTACACTATTTATGGTTTTGGCTATGGGATTTGTCGTATTCTTAAAGCATGAATGGGACACGTTGTTTTTCTTTTCAAGTTATGGAACGGTGATGGTATTTGCAGCGCTCTATGCTGGTTATAGAGTAGTCAAGGGTTCATCGATTGCAAGTTTAGATAGACTAGATTTTGATTCAGGGAGGACGGAAATGGACCGATATATCTGGGATGGAGGTACATACTACAATCACAAGAGCATTAAGGAGGTTATGTGGAAATGGCTTTCAGTTTTAGCATGAATAGAAACACATTCCAATGAGAGAGGGGCCTTGTGATTCCACAACTTTGTCAGATTTTAGGTAAGCCATTTCGCTTAATTATTACACAGAATCAAAACCAATTTAAAATTAAAATTTGAAAGCTACTTTCGTCAAACTTAAAAGAATCGTCCCACTTATTTCGATGTAACTGGACCTCTCACTAGGGCATTTGCCACAGTTGGCACCTTTTCAAACAGTTAAGCTTTATCCATCAGTAATCATCCAACCTGGGATGCTTTCACTTTTTTCTTTTTTTCCTTTTCTTTTCTTCGTCTATTCTTTTTTTTTGCGCTATGCATATCGAGTTTCATTTGAAAATTAATTTAAATTGATTTAAAATTAAATTTCAGCAAAAAGGACAATACTGGGATTTCGTCCATTCTTTTATTTACATTGGACAACCCTTCTTTCTTCTTTTACACAACATGACTTGGACAAGAACTAATTCCTTTCTCAAAGGTAGGATTTTAAAACCGTTTTTACCCAACGAGAGACACCCTCATTTGAGAAGCCCTCATTTTAAAAACTTATACCCAGGAGATCAAGTATTTATCTTTGAGGTTAAGGACGATAAGTGGGCAAGAGGATATGCATTAGTGAAGCCCTGGCCAAATGAGTACATTGCCACCTCCTGTAATTTGGATGAGTTGCCGGTGCAAACCAGTGAAGTTGTGATTTTTCCGTTGGAGTATGTAAAGATTACTGGCGAATTACCCTTCCCAGAATTGAAAGTCAATGAAGACTTCAACAATATAGTAGATGGGTCTGCAGTGCCTACTATTGGAGATTCAGAGTGGAACCACAAGGAAGCAACTGATGGAGTGCAAGAAGCTTCTACACCCAAGATTCCGCCCCTCCCAAGTAGTATCAACTCGGTTGAGGATTTGGGTGACGAAATCATGTACACCATGGAATTGCTTACATCGCATATTTTTGCGTTGTACTCCATGGGAGAATTCAGGCTTTTCACGAAGTTGGTGCTGATTTATCATGCTTTGAATGAGACCAGAATCAAATTGTTGCATGACCTTTTGACCGAAGATGAGGCACAGGTTGCAAGGGAAACCGTTGTTTACTTGTTTAACAAAATACCCAAATTGCTCGCCTCAAAGACAGCCAGAATCAATGCAAAATCGTATGATTTGGATAACGAGGGCACCGATGTTTCAGGATACAAGTCAATCTTGGCAAGAGACGCTTACAATGGACGTATTCTTCACTGGGGTAACTCTAGCCCGGCAAGAATAGCACTCAACAGTGAGTTGGGTGCTCTTGATCCGAACTTCCCAATTAAGGTGCACAATTACGCCGACAAGTATTCTTTGAAGCCACCATTGAGCAAAAACTTTAGTCACGAACCACCATCTCACATTTTGGTTGATTTCAAATCCGTTTCAGGTTCATCTGCTTACCAACCTCCAGGATTTGCCGGTACTATTGCTTATATGTACCTTCGTAATTCTCATAAACGGTTGACTGAAGCCTTTGCTGTGCACACTGACTCTGTTGACGACTTGGTGAACGTCGAAAAGATCAGTGCAGCTTTGTTTAGAAATGTACCTTCAAGTGAAATTGTCAACAACAAAGTCTTTCTTGTTACCGTTTTGACTGAGGAGGTTGATTTGAACTTGAGAAGCCCTCAAGGACCGCTGGTCAAGAGGGTGAAACGAGGTATTGCTGCCGGGGTTGCAGACATTACAAGAATTTTCTCCCGCAATACTGGATCATTGCAGTCGGGCGAAGCACATCATTTTTCAATCAAGTTATACGGGTCCTATATGAACAAGAGAGGTGATACGGTTGATGGTGTTGAAAATAACGGGTGGGGAGAACTAGTTGATAGAATCATCGCAGGTACCAGTCATGGTATTGCTGTCAATCCAAGAGCCGAAAAACTTGTGGTTACCGTGAAGGAGTTTAAGCATCAGTTTAGTGCCTCCAACTCTGACATGATTTCAAGCTCTACTCCTATTGCCAGAATTAAGCCTATCTTTTTCGATCCATTGGCTGAGAACTATGAGCGGATCTACTTGAAAATGAACAAGGTTTCATTAATCAAAGGCGGATCCAAAGATGACTTGTTAACATTTGAGATCAGCACCCCCAATAACGAGTTCATCACTTTCGCAAAGGCTTCCAATCAATTGGAAAAGAGACATTGGCAGTTTATCTCTGTATTCCCCGAGGAATCAGTTGGAGAAATCGTCAAAGTGAATGGTGTATCTTTAAAGAGCCCAACAAAGAAGGCATTACGTGATGATTACATCTTGTTATCATTGTATGTGAATGGTGTCTTAGCCGGTGAAGGTAAACTTTTGTACAAGTCTGGCAACAGGTTGGTTGAATTCAACAAAACAAAACCACATGTTATTGAAATTGTTTCCACTACTCAAAATGCTCCAATAGCACGCGTGGAACTCAATACAGAGTATGTAGGAAAGGTCTACAATTCAGACATCTCCATAGACAACATTTTCCAGTATGAAAAGTATTTCAAATTGGGACAAAAAGGCCTTGATGAGTTATCAAACTCGTTGGTTGTATTTTGCAAGTTGGAACTTTCTCAATTGCTCAAGTACTTTAATGAGCTTTTTTCATCATTGCTTGGTATTATTGAAAACTCGTCCCAGCACAGTGGACTGACAATTGAAATTCTCGATGATAACACATTCAAAGCAATCACACATTTATTGGATACATTGTTCGGCAAACAGGATGAATACTCTCATTTAGTCGATGATTTCATGGCAAAGCACAAGTACCAGGAACAAGTCGGAATCTTTTTGGTTAACAAAGTCAGTGAGATATACGCTAGAGCCGCTGTCAATTGGAACTCCGTGGCTAGATCGATGTGTAGGGTCAGTACAGTTATATTGAGGGTTGCCTTGAAGACACTCCAGGAAACTAGTGATTTGGATGTTACTTTAAATGCTTTAGGCGGTTTGTTTATGTCTGTTGAAAACTTTCTTGCAGTTGACTCGCCAGTTTTGATCGATGATCAAGTGTTAGTTTTGGATAGTCTTGATTATCTCATCAGCTTGAAATCACGCATGGATGATCGTGAAGTGTTAAATATGCTGATTAGATTTATTGATTCCGTTGGCCTTCGTGGAATGGGTGCCGATGAATTGAACTACGATGGGACTACCAAGAAGGCAACCAAAGAGCACAAGATCCCCGTTAGTAAACTTCTTTTGATTTTGCGTTTGCTTAACAGTCCTATCGCCGACCATGAAGAAGCTAGGCGAGAATTGCTTAGAAAGTCAATGCAGTGGTCTGTGGAAATTTTCTTAGGTCCAATGGATGTTGAGGCCACTAGATTGGGCTGTAGCATTCTTAATAGAGTTTGCACAATTTTGTGGGAAAATTCATTGCCTTGGGATAAGGATATTGACTTGTGTTTCTCATTGGCCAAGTTCTTGCCTGCAATGGCACGTACCTTCATTAGGTACAACAAGTTTACCAGAGGAAACAATTTTTTCAAGCCAAAGCGTATCCTCACACAATTATTCCCAACTACTTATCCATTCAACTCTTTCACTATCGATCAAGCTGTTAATGACGAGCTGTTGGTAGAAGTTTTGGTAGAATTGGCTGCATGCTTTTCATTCATGGCTAAAATCGGTAAAGCAGCAGCTGGAAATGAGGGATATGGACGGATTTTAAGCACTGAAATCGAGGACGACATCTTTGATCCAAACAAGTACTTGGCAGCTGATTTCCATGGTGAGGACCTTTTGACAATTATTTCAGGAATCAGGTATTTGAGATTGGGAAAATACTTCCCTGAAGATAAGTGGTTATCATTGTATGCGATAATTGTTGATGGATCTATGTGTGCCTTGGAATTGGTCAGACCATTGATTGTTTCCTACCAACTTCCTCCAATTGAAGAATCTGAGCATTTCGATAGGGTATTATGGGGCAACTACTTAAAAGCATTGTTGAAATTGGCAGTTTTGCCTCCTGTGGCTGTGGAGCACTTGTCCAATGTACCTGGAAAGGCATGCTCTGAGGTGACCCACGATGTCCGTGACAGGGCCGCATTTTTGATCAATGAAGCGTGGGACTCATTGGCTTGGCAGGCTACAGAAGCTGATGTTATAAGATTCAACTTGAACAAGTTTGGAGGCTATCAAGTTGAGTTTATTAATGACGAATTTAGTTTGATTTCGGAATTGATGTTGTTTGCCCTTCAAAGGAATGAAGAATGTCAATCTGTTGCTGTGAAGATGATCTGGTCAATTATGGTGTCTGAGTTTATATTAAGTGGAGGGTTGAACGAAGTGGAGAAACAGTGTCTCATTGGGCTCTACGAAGTATACCAAAAAGCTTCTTACAAACCCTCGAAAGAAGACCAAGACAACTTTATCCACAGAATGAAAGCAACCATCAGATTGGATAGAGAGGATGAAGCGTTTGCAATTTTTTACGAGTTCATCCAGAATATTACCGCTTTCTGCGCAACATTGAATTACTACATCAGTGTCCCAATCGGTCCAGAATTTGATGAAGACAGGAGATTCCATAACATCAAATTGAGAGCCCAAATTAAAGCAGCAGGTAAACCCGAGTATTTCAATTCTTTTATTGGTACCATGTACGACGACTACGTTCGCGCCAATGATTTCGTGCAAGCTGCGTTGAGTTTGGAGTTGTTAGCAGGGACCTATACGTGGGACCATAAGGAGATTGTTCCAGCCAGTTTCAGGCCCAAATTTCCTCAACAAACTTCTTTCGAGAGAAAAGAACTTTTGTTTAAAATGATGGCAACCAACTTTATCAAGGGCAAGAGTCTTGAAAAGGCGGCAGACACATTTAATGAATTGTTGGATGCTTACAATGAGCACACGTATGATTTGAAAAGTTTTGCCTATGTACATAACAAATTGGCTCAGCTTTATTTGGATTTGGAGTCCTCGGACAAGTTGGAGCCATCGTATTTCCGTGTCGAAGCAATTGGAACGGGGTTCCCATATTATATGAGGGTTATTTCTCAAATCTATCAGGGGTTGCCATTTGAACACATCACTTCAATACATGAGCGCTTGTTGAAAGTTTTCCCTGGGGCAATCATGATAAACGATGATAAGGAAGCGCAAAAGTTGAAAGAGGAGAATGTTACTGGAAGATACCTTTTGGTGAAAACTGTTGAGCCAGTTTATGAGTTTTCAGATAAACTTTTCAACACATCGTTGGGTGTCAGACAGTATGCCAAAAATAAGGATTTGAGATTTTTCAGAAGCTTGGCAAAAATACCTGGGTCCACTTCTGTGTTTGATTTATGGACAGATCAAACCACATATGAGTCTTGGTTGAGTTTCCCAACGTTGATGAACCGAAGTTTCATCAAGTCAGCAGAAACTGTTAGATTGTCACCTTTGGATAATGCTATTCAAACACTTGCTAAGAAGAATGACGACTTGATCTTGTTGGAGAGTTTGATAAACACAGCAATCAAGGACAAGACCGATTACCTGGCTCATTTCAGCGACTTGTCCAGGCAATTAAGTGGTACCGTGGATGCGCCTGTCAATGGAGGGATAGGCCAGTACAGGTTGTTCTTTACTGACCCAAGGTATCATGACAAAGAAGAAAATGTCAACAAGGCAGACTTGCTTCACAAGGCATTCAAGGATATGGCAATTGTATTGAGTCGTTGCTTGACTCTTCATGGCAAATTATGTCCCCCTTCGATGATCTCATCACATGAGGCATTGGTTGAGTTGTTTGAAAAGAACTTTAGAGAGGAGATTGAGAGTTTGAAGTTGGGAAGCAACCAGAATGAAGTTGCGTCATCTAAAGTCTCAATCTTTCACAGCAAAAGATCTGATGCTTCTACTTTCAATGACAGATCGTCTTTCCATAGTTCAAATCAATACCAACCATCGTCAGCCAGTGCCTCAATTACAGGCGCAAGGTTAGAGAGATCAAACACCCAGAATTCCTCGCAATCCAGTAAATCCGATACCAAATCTGGTCATTCATCTGGATACACGAGTGGAATGGCGTCAATGAGTCAAAACAGTGGAACTTCATTTTCTCAATTTTCAGGTTTAACGGGTAGAAAGAGTGTTACATCGGGTGCTCCATCCAACAGAAGCGCTCCTAAGAAGGTGACAGCTCTCAATGGTAGATGGTAAATCTATGGATCAAATTAGTATAGAGTTAGAGAGTCCTTTTTTTAATTTATATACAGTTGTGTTTTAAGAGATTTGTTTGTTAGAGCCTTTGCAATCTATATTACGTAATACTCTTAATAATGGAAATATAATTGGTACACACAAATCATAAAACAAGCGAAGACGAGAGAGAGAGAAAGAATAAAAGAAAGAACGAAAAAAAAAAAAAAGAACATCCAAAACCTTTGACAAATTAAGAGTCTTATTTAATATAACACAGTACCACCAACCGCGACTTTATCAAGATGTTTAGATTTACTGCTAGATCCGCCGTGCGCTCATTAAGATTGCCTGTGCAAAGAGTACCATTCGTTACTCCATTGAGATTCTACGTTGCTCCACCAATCACCAGAGACGAAGTTATCAACCGTGCGTTTGAAGCATTGAAGACTGTTGCTACTTTGCAAGGATCAAATATATCTTTAGATAGCTCTTTCCAAAAGGATTTGGGACTAGATTCGTTAGATACTGTTGAAGCTTTGGTTGCTTTAGAAGAGGAGTTTGATTTGGAAATCCCAGATAAGATTGCTGATGATATCAAGACCGTTGGAGAGGCTGTTGATTACATCTTGAAAGAGGAAGTTAAAGAAGAAGCTTAAGGTCATTAGGTGGTCGAGTTGATGGGTAAACAGAGTATATATAATTAAATAGCAATCAAGTGCAATTGTTGTACTACTTGTCCTTTGATGACCTCTTTTGTAAAGAAGAGCGAATGTAAATAACAGTCTTAGCCCCTTGTGGACTTCTATAGTGTTAATGGTCTCATAGAGAGGAAAAGGTTGGAAAGGGCAAACAACTGACTAGAGATTGCAACTATTCTCAATCTTTATAAAAGCTGACTAAAAAATAATGCACGCTACCGCAAAATCTCGACTTCCAAGTAACAGTCTTCTCCATACACCAAAGTAAGACAATGGCAAATCTTGCAGAAGTAAAACCTCATTCAAGCGACCACGAGGAGAAACATGATCAGGAGGTTGATGTGGCTCTCTCACAAACAGAAGAAGAGGACAATGCAGAAGATGATGATGATGAAGATGAAGAAGAAGAAGAGACAAACGGAGCAGTCGAATACCCAGGTACTGTATTACCCGATAATAACCCACAGGAAATTGATGCCGACATCGACTTGACAGCTGGGTTAGATCCCGATACTGACTATATTGATCTTGTTCATTTGAAAATCAATTCACTTGAAGATTTGAATTTATCCCGCTTTAAAAAATTGGAATCATTGTGCTTACGGCAAAACTTGATAACCTCCATTGTAGGGGTCAAAGACATCTCACCCACATTGGAAGAATTGGACTTTTATGATAACAGAATTAATCATATATCAAGTTCGATAAAGCATTTAACGAATTTACAGAATCTCGACTTATCATTCAACACCATCAAAAATATCAAGAACATTGATACATTGGTCAAGTTGGAAAATTTATACTTTGTCGCTAATAAGATCAAGGAGATCAAGAACTTGGACTCATTGACAAAATTAGTAAATTTGGAACTTGGTGGAAACAAGATTGAGGTGATTGAGAATCTTGACAAGCTTGTAAACATAACTCAATTATGGCTAGGGAAGAATAGAATACATAAATTACAAAACTTGGACTCATTGGTTAATCTCAGGGTGCTTTCAATTCAATCTAATAGAATAAGAAAGATTGAGGGTCTTGGTAATTTAAAGAATTTGGAAGAATTGTACTTGTCACACAACGGTATTGAAAAAATAGAGAACTTGGAGAATAACACGAACCTTCAAGTGTTAGATGTCACATCCAATAAGTTAACAGAGCTATCTGGATTGAAGCATTTGGCTAAATTGACTGATTTCTGGTGTTCATATAATCAAGTGCTGAGCTTTGAAAACGTCGGCAAGGAGTTGGGCAAATTACCTGATTTAGAGTGTGTATACTTTGAAGGAAATCCAATTCAAACCGAGAATCCTACGGCTTATCGGAGGAAGTTGAAGTTGTACTTGGGGCCTTCCTTGAACAAGATTGATGCTACGTATATACACGGATAAGTTTGTGTAGTTTCGCAAATATACGTCTCATTGTGCACGTAGCAGCCAAGTGCTGACAGGTATAGTTTTGCTGTCAGAAGTACAGTATTTCACTCTTTGCATGACCTTGCAGGAGACATTAGCTTCAGTGATATAAAATGGGCAGAAAAGGATGGAGCTTTTCTGTTCTTAGTTCAACCACCTCTAACTAAAAGATGTTTTTCTCTTCAAGCGATCAACGGGAATCAGATAACTCGAAGTTACGACCACGGAAATACTCAAATAAAATTCCTCCATTGCATAGTAATGGACCAATTTCAGCAGAAACAAAACCAAGAGATGATCCATTTGGCTTCAACAGAAGATATGGCTTAGACTTGAATGACCAGAGAAACCTGTTAGAAAAAGGCTCAAGGTATCCCAGTAGCTCAGCTATTTGGGACAGAGATAACCAGTCTCTTGGTGATTTTGGGAACATATTCGGTTTAGGAAAGCACTTTATTGGCTTTGATGAATCTTTTCATATGAACGAAAAAAATGACAGATATTTGGTATCATATGTTGATGCTGGGTTGAAGCAAGATGATATCCAGGTTGACTTTAATCAGGAGGAGAACGAATTGATTATTTGCATTGACCACGAAGATAATACTGATACCGGTGCCAGCACCAAATCTTATCAGAGTAAAATGAAATTTGACAAGCCTATTAAAGTCGACGAGATCAAAGCTGAGATTGATGATAATGGCGTACAGATGGTGTTGCCAAAAGCCCATGCCGATAACGAAAATTTCCATCATATCCCAATGATACACAAGCCACCACTTTCTAGGTTAAGATAAATTCCCAGGAGGTATTGATTTAATTTGAGTAGTATTCTAGTGTATGTCGAAATACCTTTTTGGTTGCAAAAACCAGAAAATTACAAAAAAAGCAAAAAAAGAGAAAAAAACTAACTATCGTTTCAGCTCTTTTACCCTTAAAACAAGCTCTACAAAGTCGAAACATGAGTGCCATGAAGGGAAAGCTTAAAGGAATGAGAACAAAGTTTCTCAAGCTTTTTCAAAAAGAAAAAGATGGGGAAACGTTAACCTTGGATAGAGGAATGTTTGACATGTTTTACCACCCATCCACAAACGAAAACTCCTTGTCAGAATCATTGAAATGCAGGTTATTGCCCAGTTCAAACTTTGATTCAGAAGATATTAATGGTTTCAGCTCGCCCATGAGTGCTGATTTTCACACCTCACCCGAAAATAAAGCATTCTTTGAACCTCAAACTGAAAACGACTCACTTGTATACCAACAAAACCAGCACGATTTAAGCACCTACACGATGGACCAGTTATGTTCCATGATCGATGATGACATCCTTGAAATCCAATGTCTGAGTTCAAAAGAGTCGCAGCTGTCCCAAAGATTTCTTTCAAATTCTAGTTTATCGACAATTACTCAGATACAAAATGTCAAGTTCAATCACAATTGGGGCACCCTTTATAATGTCAATGAATATCCCTCTGACCTGAAGCAGTGGTCATTCTACAAGACAAGGGCATCGCCTGCTGATACAAGACCACCAAAATTGGTTAAGGTTATCAAAAGCAAAAATCAGTACTGAGTCATTTGCAGCGATATATATACTATACACCTTCCTTTCTAATCCAATTTGTTGTCTTCTGATCTGTAGTTATCCAACACTATTCTATATATAAACGAAGGGGCAAACCCTCCCACATTTGTAATAAATATGTCAATGTGTTCTGGTCGTACATAGTCCTCCAACGGATTAACCACCACTTCAACATTATCGATCAATTCAAAATCGTCATAACTGAGCACCTTTCCCGAGTTGCCCACTTCAATCAAATCGTTTCTTGTGAATGGGTACAATGGCGATAATTTGTATAAACCAGATACGGCAAATACAGGAGTCCTGTGTTCTTTGGCGCATTCAACAACACTAGCAACACCACTCAGTGATAAACACCCACCATTGGCAAATACAGCATTAGCGCCAATAATGACCTTACCTACCCTCGACATCACAGCGTAGACTGTGGTGTCAGGTATTATCACTGTTTCTATATTATTGTCAGCCAATTTTTTAGCAAAGGTTTGTGTTTTTTGTAGATTATTGGGGAAGTTTTCAGTGACTAGAACGGTGAATTTTCTCTTTAAACGGGCTTTGGTTAAGAAATGCAATATGGTGTCCGATGAAGGAGTCGGGGTGAGCAACACTTCATTGTCGTGAATCAAGTCGATTGCCATATTGTTCAAGTCGTCATTGAAGTTGGATATTTCATCAACCAAGTCTCTGATCCCTTGAATGATTATGCTTCTCATATCGCTCGTTTGTTTCTTTGTTTGGGGAGTACCCTGTTGTTCCTTTCTACCTTCTTGTTTGGTTGTCGTCGTTAACAAGCTAAACATTGAGCTCATCATGGGCACATTGGAATTGGCATTGGTGGTGGAATCAGTTACGGTATTTGTCTCTAATCCAGTATCAATTTCTTCACGTATGATGGCAAGAACACGTCTTACAATGTTTCCCGGTATAATCTGGCAAGGATTTGCCGAATGGAGGATTGTGCCCACTTTTCTAATCAAACTGATCAAGTCATAAGTGTTAGTCCACCTTGCTGCTGATATAACTTTCATCAATAGATGCGCAATAACTAAAGCACTCTCCTTGTCATCGTTGATTTGGTGTCGCTTGAGTGTTGCCACTACTGGGTTTAAAAGCGCTTGAATCTCTGGTGTCACGGTAGACATAGTTGGAAAAGGATCTAGTGAGTCAAGTGTCTGTCAACTGATGGCTACTTGAAAAAAAAATAAAAAAAAAATTCAAAACAAGAGAAAAAATTTGGTGCAATCAGCATGGACCCTACAAACCACTTGCACTACTTGCAACACAATTACTTTTCAGATTAAATAAAAAATTACTATTTACAACCCCTCCTCACTAAAGTTTGATACCGATATGGATACTAGCAACCCCAAAAGTCAAGTTTTCGTACCCAGGTTCCGGCACATAAAATCCAGCTTTTTCAATCATTGATTTGAATTCCTCTTGTTTGGGGAACTTTTGTATACTCTCAACCAAGTACTGATACGATTCTCTGTCATCGGCAATTAATTGGCCCATCAATGGTAGCAACGAAAACAGGTATGCTTGATAAGCATAGTCAATAACTGGATTTTCAACTTGTGAAAACTCCAAACATGCAAAGATTCCTCCTGGTTTCAACACTCTGTAGGCTGTGTCCAAGCCTTTTTGTATATTGGTGAAGTTTCTAATACCAAATGCAATAGTGTAGACATCTTTTGAATTGTCAGGAATTGCATCCATAGTTTCTCCATTTTGGACAATAAATTCAACACGATCTTTACCTTCTTGGGCCCATTTCAGTTTGGAGTACCTTACCTCACCCTCCTTCAACATATCGGGGTTGATATCAGCCACAGTGATTTTACTCTCAACATCACCAAATCTCTTTTCGGCATGCTCTAATAATCCAAACGCAATATCACCCGTACCACCGGCAACATCGAGAAATTGTAATGGATCAGACGACGATGGTCTCATCCCTGCATCCAATCTGTTGATAAAATGATGCTTCCACAAGCGGTGTACTCCCATTGACATGACATCGTTCATAAGATCGTAGTTGGAAGCAACGGAGGAGAACACTCCACCGACTAAATTTTCTTTATCGGAACGATTAACAGTTTTATATCCAAAATGGGTAGTGTCTTCCACTGGTGGTGGTGGTGGTGTGTGCAGTGACTCATGGGATGATGATGATGGTGGTGGTGGTGGTGTAGTGCCTGAATAAGGTCTTGTGAGTGGAATTCGTAAAGCAATGGGTTCAACCAGTCTAACGACTGATCTTAACGCGGTGCTTGCAAACGATTGTGCAAGCATTTGAGGTCTTTTTATTAAGAAGCGTATCGATATTACTGATTGGTGAAAACTAATTGTGCCAATTATTTTTTTTTCTTTTGCTGTCTTTCTTACTACAGGGTATCAAAATTTCGGGGAGCGCTATAACGTCTTCAGGTGTTGCTACTACTTTGCACCCTTAAACTCTATCATTTTTTAATTAATATATAAAAAACCTGTAAAGAAAAACTTCTCTTACTAAACTTAAGCTTGGACAATTCTAACAGTGTTGGAGTGACCAGAACCTTTAGTCCATCCTTGAACAGTGACAATCGAGTCACCCTTGGAAATGATTCCTAAGTCAACAGCTTCAGAAACAGCCCATCTCAACCTGTTTTCAACATCTTCTTGCCAGTTGGAAGCTTTTTCTTTCTTGTACACGAATGGGTAGACACCTCTATACAAATGGGAATACTTGGCACTTCTTTCGTTTCTGGTAACCATCAAAATTGGGACATCTGGCTTATACTTGGAAACCAATCTGGCGGAAAGACCAGAAGTGGACAAGACAACGACAGCTTTAGCATCTTGTTCGTAAGAAGCAGAAACAGCGGCAACGGCACAAGTTTCGGAAGTTGGGGTTGGCTTCTTGGCCAAGGATCTCAATTCGTTGAACAATTGAGGGTAAGCAATAGCCTTTTCAGCAATAAGACAAGTATTGTGCATCATTGAGACAGCTTCGTATGGGTAGTTACCTTTAGCGGTTTCACCTGACAACATAACACAATCAGCACCATCCAAAATAGCATTACCAACATCAGAAACTTCGGCTCTGGTTGGTCTTGGGTTATACGTCATAGATTCCAACATTTGAGTGGCACAGATGACTGGCTTGGCAGCAAGATTACATTTGGCAATCAATTGTTTTTGTACGACAAACACTTGTGGGGCTGGAATTTCAATACCCAAATCTCCTCTAGCAACCATGACACCATCGGTGGCTTCCAAAATGTCATCAAAGTTGTTGACACCTTGCTGGTTTTCAATCTTGGCAATGATTTGAATGTCTTTACCTTCTTCACCAAGAACTTTTCTAATGTGTCTGATGTCATCACCAGATCTAATGAATGAGGCAAAAATCATATGTACCTTGTTTCTAACACCAAATTGGATATCAGAAATATCCTTTTCGGACAATGCTGGCAAATCAACATCGGTACCTGGTAAATTGACACCCTTATGGGAGCAGATATTACCCGAGTTGATAGATCTAACCTTCAAAGTCAGCTCGTCGACAACTTCCAAAACTTCGAATGACAAAACACCGTCATCGACGTAAATGATCTTACCGGGAGAGATCACTTTGGTGATGTTTTTATAGTCAATATACATAATTTCGTCGTTTGACTTCAACTTGTAGGCGTCATCGGTAGTGAAAATCATATCGTGTCCTGGTGGAATTGGGTAATCTTTGCCATCAACGGTGGTACCAGTTCTGATTTCTGGACCTTTGGTATCCAAGGCAATAGCCAATGGTCTTCCTTTATATACTTCTTCCGACTTTAAGCAATTGTCAATAACAGATTGATGGTAATCATACGAACCATGGGAGAAGTTCATTCTAGCAATATTTAAACCAGCTTTTCTCAATTTGACCAAGGCTTCAACACTGTTGGTTTTGGGACCAATGGTACCAATGATTGAGGATCTTCTCAAGTATTTGTGAGGGGTTTGCTCAACATTCAAGTTGCATAACCATGATAAGGATGAGTGAGACATTTCTTTTGGTGAATTTTAGTGAAAGCAATTGGGAAAGACTAAGCAGTGTAATAAATTGTAAAGTTTAGCAGAAATGATCTTTCGACTTTGAAGCAATCTGGTTTAAGAAGAAAGGAAAAGAAGAGCAAAGGTGAAGGTTTTAAATGGGAAATTCGGTATCAATTAATATTATGTGAATTTTTTTTTTTTTAATTGTCCAAAATCTCATCCTCAATTAATCACAACACAAAAATAGCAAATAACCAAACTAAACTACTACAAAGAATGAAAAACAAAAACTCCGTAAAGGAGTGAGCCGAAGACAAAACAAAAATTTACTTCAAGAGAATTTTGTAAATGTACACACACCCACACCCACACACACTGACTTACACACATAACCTAGACATATACAGAGAGAGAGGGGTATTGGTTATATTACACAAATCTTGTACAAAATAACATGTTTTTTTTCTTTTTGTCAATGGTGATGTTAGTTTCTTAGATGGTTGCAAGATAAATTAACTTTTACCATAGAGCAATTTTGTTTAAATGGTTTATTTCGATCCGATTTGATCTCTTTTTTTTTGGATGCAATCTAGCCAAAAAATGGCTTTTACTCTTCTTACATTGAAGCTTTGGATTAGGACCAGATTTGTCTCGCAAATTGACTAATAGGAACTAGTATACTTTCACTGAGATTGTGTTCCGGCTACAATGTATAGCAAAGGTAATTAAGGTTTTGACACTTGAGTAGTGTTGTCCTTTTGCCCTGCAGAAGAGGAAAGAGGGGTATGCACTTAAAGCTACCATTTACGAGAGTTTTTCTTTTATTGCATTTGCATGTCGCAAAATTTTGTGAAAATCAATCTTGCGACACGATCTGTCAACAGACGAAAAGTAGACTCTCATTGATTGACTGTTTCAAACTAGCATTTGGCTGACAACTGTTACTCTACAACAACGACTCTATTTGCCCACAACATACTACATGGTGGTTCCTATAGTGCTTGGAATTGGTGTTACTGTGATAGCACTTACTGCAAGAGCAACAATCTCCGCTTACCGACAGTACTTGCACTTGACGCCAGCAATGATTGCCACTTTAAACAACATTAAACTTACAAATATAGACGATATTTCATCCACGGTGAAGAAATCTGATCCACGATACCTTCATTACAAATTCCTACGACTGAAGTACCCCAATAGAACTTTCTTAACACCCATGACTGAACAGGAAGCGTTGTTGATTTTGGGCATAGAAGGTGATGACATTCTAAATGTTGATAAAAAGATGGTTAGGGATCGATATCGAAAATTGATGGTGTTGAATCATCCAGACAAGCAAGGCAGTAAGTATATTAGTCAAAAAATCAATGAGGCAAAGGACGTGCTCGATAAAAGCTATATGGTGAATAAGTAGTTTTTTATAGGTGAAGAAAGGGTTTTTTATGCAGATGTAAATTTTTATTATTGTAATGATCTTATGCTCAATATCATTACTGTTTAGATTACGTTATCAGAAGTGATGACAACTCAACGATCTACATATAATGGAAGGTAAGAACGAAGAGTATGCTCTGTCGAGCGACTTCGTTTCAGCTCATCCAACTCAGCACTTGTATTAATGGTCTACCAGGGCACGAAAAAACACGAAGCGGAAACATTTAAATTGGAAACAAACGGAGATTTCAATTTTGCGCCTTACAAAGGAATCTGTGCCTCCTAGATTTGTATAAATATTGTCGCTACGATTATTTCACGTGATCCCAGCGCTACCAATTTATTATATAGAACGAACTAGTCAGCCTTGAAATAACACCAGCCTTGATATCTCATATCAAGCCCAGATCAACTAACTGTTATTAAGATAAGAAGTAATCCTAAACCGGAAGTAAAAAGATTTTTTTTGTTTGACAAGGTTAAACGGAAATTTGATAAAAGTTTTGCAGTTCCAGTAAGCCGAAAGACCGCTTTTTGAAAATATGTGTCATGATGTAATTATTTTTAAAAAGGCGGACTTACGATGAGTCATAAGAAGTCCAATAGAGTGGCACTTCCAACATATTCTGTTAACGATGTCTTTATAATGCTGCTTCCATGTAATCTACTGCTCTACACATTTGCTGAACTGCAGGACCATCTTTTAGTTGGGCTATTTTTTTTGCCACTTGGTAAAACGTATTGATTTTCAGAACTTCAGAACTTTGAAAGATTAAACGACTGATACATACATAATCCTGTACATAGGTCTCTACTTTTTTCCTTTTCTACTCGTTTCTTTTTTTCTCTCTCATTCGCTAGGTTTTGTGTAATAATATGGACAATGGTAATCCACATCTCCTTTCGCTATCGTCAGTGTATATCTACGGATATATCAAGTCCTTTTTCACCTTTCTTCGTCCATGGTTTGAAGTAAAAATCTAAAAGATTGTCACAGGTATAGGAACAAAGTATTCCGTACATTTGAAAATCTTTTTAAGCCAGTTCTAAGTAATAACCTTCGTGTAGATTTTTTTTTTTTCATTATAAAAGAAAGCACCACTAGCGTAATGGGAAGAAGTAAGCAAATTGATTTGTAAATATCATAATTAGAAAGTTTCCATTAGTCCTCCCAACCCCTCTGCTATTGTTGTTGTGTGCTTATGACGTTTTTTTTAGGCGTAACGGAAAGGTCTCAAAAAGGGAATTTACACAAAACTAATTTCAAAATAAGACATGTGAATTGCAATAAAAAAAGAAATTTCCAATTTTGTGAAATGTATCTCTGCCATTTGAACGGTTTTTCCATTTCCACCTTCACTTTTCGCAGAACTGGTTCTAAATATCAGTTAAATGTCCTTCTTTATAACTACTCTTTTTTTTCCATCTTCTTCTCCTTTACCTTTTAGTTGCATTCACAACTAATAATACTTTTCACAAGAAAAAAGCATACAGCTGAAGAAGTACATTCGTTATCAATACCTCCATGACGACTACTAGAACACATTCAATCTTTGAATTTTTTGACCACGATAATAGAGAAGAAGACTCAACAACCACGATGACTTCTAGACCATACAGCATACCGGAAACAAATAATGACCGTGAATACATCGCAAATTCGCACGATGAACTAATGTCAACCTTATCATCGACTTCGATCAACTCATTATTCGATATAGACTCCCCTTTCCATTCAAACCATACTCAGCCGGGAACATCAACAATCACACCAGCATTATCAAGACACAGTTCAATTAAAAGTAGACAAAATATGACCAACTTGCCCAAATTTCATGAACAGGAATTCACAAACAAACTTCAAACAAAGTTGAAGATCGAAGAAGGGTTGCAGAATCTAAAAGTGGAACCCACCATTCAATCTATCGCCCAAGAAGTTGAACAAAAATCACCAAAACACCAGGCCAAAGTAGTTGTATTGTTGGTGGGACTACCTGCAAGTGGTAAATCTACTTTATGCCATCAAATCAAAGATTTCATCAACTCAACAACCAAATATAAATGCGGAATCTATAATGCTGGAGATGTCCGCCGAAGAAAATCGCTAATTTTCAATGACTCTGATTTCTTTGATCCCAATAATGAGTCAGCAAAGAGGAATCGTGACTTGTATGCCACGATCACATTGAACCACTTGTTGTCGGATCTTGATAATACAGTTGATATCGGATTACTAGATGCAACAAACACCACCATCGAAAGAAGACAAAAAATGTTGTCCATCATTCATTCCCACAATTTGGCCACCGTCGTTCTTGAAGTTCAAAGCAAATACCATGACTACAACATCGTCAAAGGCAAAGTACACAATGCAGATTACATCAAACAGGACAGGACAGCAGCAATAAATGACTTTAAGAGAAGGCTACAGCACTATAAGAAAGTGTATGAGCCTGTAAGTTGGGAAGAACTAGATGAACGCGATGATCAAGTTCAGGCATTCATTAAATGTGTTGATGCCGGCGAAGATTTTGAATTAATCAAGAACAAACAAGTAGAGGAGAAGGAACTAGAGGCAGAAAATAATGGCGTTAAAGAGAATGAATTTTGGTATTTCAAAGTGTTGCAACAGTTTATTGATCAATATGACGAACTGTTTGGTATTGAGTACCGAAAAAAGGTTAATGATTTTTATTCAAAGGGACAAGGGAAAAGGGAATAATTTGGGTTTTTGGACAGTTTATATATATATATATATAGATTTGATTTATTACAATTATACAATCATCTGTGTAAATTCTTCAGTGTCTCTCGTAAGCTCCATAAGCTTTGATTACAGCTAACTCGGTCTAATAGGATCCAACTCCACTTGCTTTCCTATTATTAGATTGGTTTCAGCATGCTTCCTCACTGCTTCACAAACACCCTCTATCTTTGAAACCCACATCCCTAGGTTTCAAGTGTTTGTTCTAGATAATATGCATGTAATATGCCCCCAAATTTATAAAGACTGGAAAAGCTATCGACAGCTGAAGCTTCACAGCCAAATATTTCCAAAGGATAAAACACCAACGCTTTCTATTTAACTCAGTCATTCACCCACTAGATTCCTCCATCACTGCATTCACATTGTTATTCAATGCGTAATACCATGCCCCAATCTTGTCATCAGTATACACCGCATCTTTCCAAGCCATGGGGTCATTGGGCCTAGCGCGTGACCAAAATCGAGCCGTCTTATCTGATCCAGCTGAACAAAGGAGATGGCCCATTGGATGATACTCCAAGGCGTGAATAGCCTTTTCGTGGGCATATGGAATATGGTGGACATTGTCGATAGATGCTGTTTGGAAACTACTATTTCCTTTCTTTGCATCGTTGGAGTCGAGGATGGATGAGTTCAACAAGTAATGATTCATGGACCCATTAAATGCCGCCGTAGTCAACATTGATGCGTGTAGTGGATGCCATGCGCAGCACGAAAGATCGGTTTCTGAATCGCGAATTACCAACATGTCCTTCATTGCTGTCAAGTCAAATATACGACAGGAACGGTCACGCGAGACCGAGGCTAACAATCTCTTTGTCCCACAAGGTTGAAACCGTGTTGTGTTTACCGTGTGTTTAAATCCGTGTAACGTAGCAATGCATTGTGAAGCACGAGGATCCCATAATTTGACTAAATTATCTTTGGATCCACTAACGACAAGGCCTAAATCTGGATGCCAATCAGCACTCTTTACCTCCCAATTGTGTCCAGTTAACGTCCTCTCCTCTTGTCCGTTACTAAAGTTCCAAATCTTTAGCATTGAATCATCACCACAAGTTAGAAACTTGGAGTCGTTTGGGGAAAAGGCAATATCTCGTAGCCCATTTGAATGTGCGGTTATATTGTTGACATTGTTGAAGTTGGGTTGCCAGTATTTTACCGTTCCATTTTGGTCTCCACTTAGCAACCATTCATCGTTGTTGGAATACTGCATGGTCAATATAGGACTTTCATGAGCTTGCATAATGGTTTCAAAATTAAATGTCATTCCATTCCATAAGGTAAACTCACCTGAGTGCGATGCCACCAATAGTCTACGTCCTTCGGGTGTCCATTTCACGGTATTTATGGAATGCTTCACCTTATTTGAACTTAAATGCACCAATTTCGTTTCCAAGTCCAATGCCCCTAAATTGTTTTTATTATTTCTTCTGTTTAGATTGAAACTTGACGAATATGCCAATGACGGGAGCAAGTCGATCAAATAGGAACTCTCAGGCCGAACCGCTCCAATATGTTGCTGGTGTCGTGTGTTTACACCAATCGACTTTTCAATAAACCACCGTGCCATGTTGTTTCCATGATCAACTGTTCTTCGGAAAGCCTGCTTCTTATCTTGGCTGGCAAGTTGATGGTCAAAGTTTTGCTGAAAATTCAGTGACGATTCTCGTTGGTTGTACGGTTGTTTGTGGACCCTTCCACCTTGTTGGTGATTCTGATAAGAATTGTATGACATTGGGTTAGATGAAGGTTAATGAGCTGATATTAAGAAGGGTTAACTGTCGTAAGTTTGATTTTTCATCTCTATTCTACGCAGCTGTGAAAAAAGCGAGCTACCAAAAAATTCGCTTACTTTGAAGTCCCTACAAAGTCAAAGAAAGGAAAGCAATACTTGGTGCTGGTGCTGGTGGTGGTACTGGTACTAACTTGCGTATTCAGGGTCATAGTCAGTGGTATCTAGAGTTGCAAGAGGAAAGAACAAGTGGTGCTTCTACACGGCTAAAAAGTTTTGTAGCACAGTTTATCTAAGCTAGCCAACCTGAACTTTACAAAATACCTCTTTACAAATGCGCACTTATATACGAAGGTTATGGATAGTACTTAAAGCTCTTCTAGGGGGGACACCTTCACAACCAGTTGACTCCACAGTTTCCTTATTCGGTAACTCAATTTAAAAAAGCAAAATTGATGAAAGAATTAAATTGAAGAAAAATAAAAATAAAAATAGAGACAAAAAGATTTGTGTTTGCTTTGGAAAAAGACCAAATCGACCCCTCGTGCGCATGATTACAAATATCGCAAAAGTATAATATATGCTAGAGATTTACTTCCCACTTTACAACAAACGCAACTTTTGATTTCCCTCCACAACTACCACCACCACACAAACAAACTCAGGCTATTCAACAAGTATGGTTCAACTTTACTATCACGACAACAAAGATACCGAGGAGAATTTCACAGATGACCACAATTCTGGGATACCTGTATCAGTTGAAGAATTGTCGGAATTAGGTGTCATCTACAAGCACGTTACAAGTCAAGAGGAACTAGATGCATTGGCCAAAGAGCGAGAATACAAGAACAGAGACCAGGTCCATTTGAACTTGGAAACTTTCAAAAACGATGTTGATGCTTATAATGCCAAAATGAAGCAATTTTATACTGAACATTATCATGAAGATGAAGAAATTAGATATATTGTTGAGGGTGAGGGGTTCTTTGATGTGAGAAACAAGGGCGATAAATGGATCAGAGCCAAGTTATCAAAGAATGATTTATTGATCTTACCTGAAGGAATTTACCATCGGTTCACTTTGACCAACAAGAGAGAAGTTACTGCTGTTAGGTTGTTCAAAGACGAACCCAAATGGGAAGCCATTAATAGAGAGCAGTAAGGGAAAGATGGGTCTATATTTATTGTATTATTATAGCCAACACGAGCACTATGTATTAGATTCAACCTTTGACAACTTTAATTTTGTTTGAAGAGATCCATTTCTCTAGAGTAGCTCTATTCTTTTTCAACTCTTCATCAACAGCTTCCTTCTGTTTTGTCAATTGCTTCTCTTCATCAGCCAAAATCTTGATTACTTCATCAATTGACTTCTCAACTAGCACCCCACCGATCATTTTAAAACATTTACGGCCGTGTCGCTTTTCAGGCGCTATTGCTGTAAGACTGCGGTCAACAATAATGTGTTCTTGAATTTGCGAAGCAAGTGTACCTGATTGCGTTTCCAACTCTTGTATTAGCTCCTGATACCTGTTGTACTCTTGTTGTAAAATTTGAGACTTCTTTTCATCTGCTGCAGTTGATGATGACGACGACATTGTAGGTTGTATTGGGAAATGAAAAAGCTCTGATATTTTGGCTTCGGAATTTCTTTAGTTTTTTTTTTTTCTTTTTGATTCAAAGCGTGTAAAGATGGGACAGTTTTAGTACGATAATCTCAGTCTAAGTGGCCCATTTCTGAAACATCACCTCAGAGACGCTGCCAGCTACATAATCACAACATATAGCATAAACTAGCATGATTGTTTGGCCTGACTGGTAGTGGCAAATGCTCAATAACCACACATTATTTACAAGTTTTTGCAATCAAAAATATTTTAAACTCTAATGCATGACTACACTTTTTTAAATTAAGGAGTATCCCCTCTCCTCTGCTTATAGCTTCTACACGATGAAAAAGTATATAAAAGGGGTGAATGGTTTCCTTCGAGTATTTCCTCCTTGTATAAACCATTCATTCTACTAACCATAAAAAAATGTCATTAAGAAATCCAATTGCATTTCACAACTATTCACCTAAACAAACGTTGCTTGCAGGTGGCGTGGGATTTGGTATTTACGCTGCCTTAATGCTTAGATATTACTCACAGCGGTCAAGTGTGAGAAAGATATTTGAAGAGAGTGATAAAAACTACGAAAAGGTGCACCTCATGGCATTACCTCAAAAAAGGGGAATCAATGGTGACAAACAGTAGTGTCAATAATAGTTGTGTATACAGAAACAATAAATTATCTCATCTATTCTTCTTCGTCTTCCCCCTCTGGCTTAACTTCATCTAAACTGGTCAACAAGCTGCTTAACTTCTTTGCACCAAGTTCAAAATACTCCTTTTGCGCTTTAACGAAAATCTTTAACAAATCAACATTCTTTGAAGGCTGTAAAAGCTTCTTCATCTCAATCACTGCTAGTTCTGTTGCACTGACTAATTCATCTTCTTTTGAAATCAATTCTTCGTTTTCTGGATCGCTTGATTCAAATTTACTTCTCAATTGATCAAATTGGGATCTTGTAAAGTACACCTTCTTTCTCAATTCATTTACTTTGATAAATTGTTCATTCAATATTTCAACTAAATCGTGGTTCAAGTTGAGAATGGTTTTATCTTGGTCTAATCTTGCCAATCCAATTTCGTGGTATGTTGAGGATATCTTCAACAAAACAAAAGCAAGCGAGTTCAGGTTGGAATTTTTTTCCAACTCCTCTGAATGCTTAGCAGTTAATGCACTCAAATAACCGAATAATGTCTTTGGCAAATCTGGTGAAGTTGGCTGGATTGAAACATCTTTGTTTTCTTGTTCACCTTCTGGATTTGAATCGTCGGCTTCGCCTAGCAAGACTTTCTCCAACTCTTGAGGTGAAGAGGCATTCTTCAATTGATTAAACTTGTTACCAATAATACTTCCAACGTGGGCGTCTCTAATCTTGTTTATGGTGTAGTTTCCTGGAGGGTAATCGTAACTAACTTGCCCATAAGTTTCATTAGTTGTTTGGATCAAATCAGAATACAATTTCAACAATAAATCACATCCAATTTCCAATTGTAAATAATCCTGAGGCAATTCACTCACTTCGACGTTTGATGTGTTTGACGCCAATGCTTGGACTTGGTGCAATTGTTCATTGATCAATTGTTGTGTCTTTGACGCGAATGGCTGAATTGAGTCTCTAAATTGTTCAACAGTTTTCGAAGGATTAACCTTGGAAAGGCTTTCACGGAATTGATCCACAGTCGGCAATGAGTCTTGGATAGATTTCAAATCGAAAGAAGGGAACTTGAACGACATTGTAATTGTATATGCTGGTAAGAAGACACACAAGGCTGTGATAAAATAAAAAAAATATATAAAATTACGACAACAAAAAAAGAACAGATAATCCAATGTCGTGAAATAACAAATGTCAAATAAGTCGAAGACCATACAGGCTGTAATGAGCAAATGGAGACCAACTCCTATCTCTCCACAGCAAGCTTGCGGGAGCCCTTCAATAAAGTCCGCGTTTTGAAAGTTCGATAATTCTGCACTAATATTGCCAAGTAAGTGGTGCTGGAGCAGTAATTACGTCTTGACGCTACCGACTCTTTTTTCAAAACAGCATCTGAAATTCGTCAACCATTTCATCATTACATCATCACTCATGGCTACGGATGAATCAACGGTGTACTACAAGAAGCAAGCCAAATATCATGACAAACGAAACATCCTCAACAAGTCGTATTTAATTGAGCCAATAATACGGCATCGAATCCAGGATTCTATATTTTATAAACAACACCTTTATTTGACCAATGAATCAACCATACTTCCAATCATTACTCAACACGTGCACCACGTCTCTGGTGTTGATTCAGTAGGTAGACCTAGTCCTTTCCTTCAATGCCTTTTACGAATGCTTGAGTTGGAACCTTCAAAGGAAGTTATCAATGTGTTCCTTGACCAATTATCGTACAACGAATTCAAATACTTGACAGCATTGACATTGATATACATAAGATTGGTGTACCCGAGTGAAGATGTTTACAATATATTTGACAAGTTTGCTCAAGATTATCGAAAATTGCGAATCAAGTTGAAAACCCCTGAATTCAATGCCTTGAAACAGCCAATACACTACAAAATTGGATACATCGACGTGTTTATAGACGATTTGCTAACGCAGGAAAGAGTAGTAGATCTCATATTGCCACGCCTCATTTCGCGGTTTAGTTTGATGGAGCGTGGATTAGTTGCTCCTAGACAATATTTTATAGACGATGAGCTGCAAAAAGATGTAACAACAACAATGTCGCTAATTGAGAACAACGATATTGACAAGAGTGATGGTGAAAGTTCTTATCAAAGTGATAGTGACTAGACTAAATAAAAGCAGAACTATTATAGTGAAACGCGTGGTGGTGGTCGTCGTCATCTTTCCCCTCACTCAGCGGAATTACGCTTTGGCTTTTCTTCTCTACGTCATAGTATTGTATTATTATTAGTGTGTGTCTCTTTCCAATAATAGAAAGTCAACAAACAAAAAGAGAATAAACTTTTCTTACACCGAAAATTTTATGTTTAGTGGAGAGTCCTCACAAGCATTCTTTATGGACCCTTTTTGGTAACAACAGAGGTCTAGATCTTTTACAACAACTAAGCAATAATGGCAATAACAAACCTTCTAGATGAGGCAGACAGACACTCAGAAGCCAGTATACATGCTACTTCTAGAACAAAAATCATTTTTGTTGTCGGTTTGTTCCTTCTTTCGTTAACTGCCTTTGTATGTCAAACGGAATTCACATCACAAGCATACAAACTAAAATTCGGCGAGCCGGTTTTGTTATTGGCCGTAACTCATGGGTCCTGGTGGCTCTTATGGCCAGCACAAGTGTTGTTTGTGTCAATTTGGAGGACAATCAGTAAAATGGGTCAACGTGATAAAACAGTAAAGGTGAATACAGCCATGGGGAATATACAATATCAAAGAATAAACTCGACTTCGGGACTCCTCGAGGAGCAGGACCATCCACAGCAAGAAGTGCCAGTACAGCAAGTAAACTACTGGAAATATTTCAAAAAGGCAATTGTCAAACAATTTCACAATGTCTATCACACGTCAGTACTCATATATGAAGCAAATGTAAACGACAATAGATCAACCAAACACCTCAATGAAATTATAGAGAGTAATGTGCACATTTCAAGTTCCAGCTCCATCACAGATTGCATTCGATCATTTTTTCAAGCACCGTCAATCAGACATATCTTGTTCAAGACGCTCATTGTAACAACTGTACTTACTCTAGCTGGTTTTACCTGGTACGGATCCATGTCCATGACGTATCCAGCTGATGTGACAGCAATTTACAACTGTTCAGCATTCACGGCGTATGCCTTTGCCATCCCATTATTGAATGAAAAGTTTTCCTGGTTGAAAGTCAATTCGGTTATTATAGCTATAATTGGTGTGTTTATTGTCTCATACTCCTCCAGCAGTGATGCAGGTAGTGAAGGCAGTGGCGGTGGCAGTGGCAGTGATGAGAACCCATATCCGTATAGATTCTGGGGTAACTTACTTATATTCGTGGGAGCTATATTGTATGGTTACTACGAAGTATTGTACAAAAAATATCTTTGCATACCGGCACATTTGTCAAAGATTATTACCCCAAGGAGACAGCTGACGTTTGCAAATTTCATCATGGGTATAATGGGAGCCTATACCTTGACATTTTTGGCTCTTTTAATCGCAGTTTTACATTTCACCCACATTCACAGAGTCAATTTCTTCAACTATGGCGACAACACTGGAACTATCTGGCTTTATATTTTTGGCTCGATAATAAGTAATCTTTTATTTAGTGCAGCTTTCTTGTCGCTCATGGCTTTAACGAGCCCTGTCTTGTCTTCGGTAAGTTCCTTGACAACTATCTTCCTCATTGGCTTAGTTGAATGGGTGGTTTTCGGTAATGCATTAGACTTGCAACAATTGATTGGAGATTCATTTGTCATTGTTGGATTTGTCATGTTGACTGTTGCATCGTGGAAGGAAATTAGTGAGGGTAATGAAGACGATGAAGTTGAAGCTGTGAGCACCTATTCGTTTGCCATGAGTACTGATGGCACTCAATAAAACAAGACAGTTATTCACTTATTTAGACTTTTAAAAAGAAAAAAAATTGTAACAATATCCTTGTACTGTAAAGCAATTCTGAACAACATTGGGTCCACAATCCTGATCCAGAAGATGTTCCAGTTTAAAAGGAGAAAAAGTGGTC